AGCAAAAGTCTACCATGAATAAGTTGAAATATTAATGATGTTTGATACTATCTACATAAAGCAACCAAAATGAAGGTTGTTCACTGATTTTATTAGTTCAACTAAATCAGAAAACAAATGTAATTCAGCAATAAAAAGATGGATCAAATTCAACAAGTATCTGAACCAATTAGTACCACATGTGTGATAGGAAGATTACAAAGATGCCTTTTGATGAGCTACAGTGCAGACTGGATTATATAGGTTAACCTGCAAGTAGTTTGGACCTAAGCATGTAAGAATAGACACATCATTTAACTTGGAAGGCGTGGCAAATCACCAATTCCCAGATCCAACAAGATAATGTACTCAAGGTTATCAATACACCTTGTTGGATTGAAAAGCTTCAGACAATATGAGCAATAGCCAGGAGTAATGGGAATTGGAAATCTAGCAATATGAAAAAAGTCAAATATCAGATTCAAATTTTGTTTTATCTAATAATTCCAGTTTACTACAAGGTGTAGTCTGCCCTATTGTGGCAACCCTCTTAATGTGAAGTTGCAATTCCAGCCAAATATCTATTTTTAGCATAATTTCAAAAGAACCAAAAAATCATTATTTATTTGTCAAATTGGCAGTAAAGTCAATGGACTAGCAACAGATTAGCCCATATTCCCTGAAAAGTTATTTAAGTACAAATGTTTTGAAAATACAATATAGTATAGCCGTAAATTCTGGAAAATGCCATACCTCCACTGTTTAGTTTCTGAGACAGCACATCTACTCTCTCCTGAAGTTTATCATACATTGACACAATCTGTGTGACTGCACGGCGGGAAGATTCAAAACGTTCCTGTAGCTGGGATTCCATTTCCTCACTAGTGCTACTAGCCAGTGTAGCCAGAAAGGAGAATGCAGGTTCAAATATTTCTCCTAAATTATAGTAGTGCAAGAAAGTAATTATAACTAGATGTAATCTGGATCCAAACAATAAATCATTTCATACTACCATGAGATCATAAGCATTTTGTAGAACATTTACCATCCTGTATCAGATACTTTACCTCGATCCCTCTCATCTTTACGCTCTTGGTTGCTGTCTGAATCGGGCTCTGGTTCTGGTACCACCAAGGCTTTTCGCTCTGACAGGAGATCCCCAAGGCCTTGATCCAAGTCATAGCGTTTCAAAATGATGCGAATGTTCTCATCAAACTGAAAAGAGGACACGTTTCACTGATAAGAGAGTTTGCCAAGTAAAATTAAAGGGATGAGGTCATTAGGAGAAAAATGCAACAGACCTGACTCCAGTAGCGGTTGACGATCAGTAGCGAAGCATCATCTGTGGCTTGACGCTTTTCCAGCTTCTCTATATGCTCTCGCAGCTCATCTTCAATAGCTTGTCTTTGGTCCAGCATCTCTGCCAGTTTTCGGTTCTTACTCTGAAGCGTGCGAATGTCCAGTTCTTCCTGAAATACAGTCGACATGGTATAGTGTTTACACTGTTGATCTAGGTCTGGGAAGAACAACTATTCATTTCAATGTATGTCTGAAGTGGTAAGTCAGCAATAAGCAACCTGATGGTCTCCACATTTTTGGACCAAAATATCCAATCCTTTGCTACTGAATTGCAAAAGAGCTAGAGAATGCTAGGTATCTACATATCAAAATCCAATTCATAACATTTTACACTATAGGGAAGGGGTTATCATACAATGTTTCTCAAATATCCATCTTCCTGTAAAAATTCATAAAGAAAATTAGTATGAAAGGGAAAAGGAACGAATAAGGACTCACAACTAATCATCCACATCCTATCCTAGAAACAAATTTATCATTCCATGAAAGTTAGACCCAAGCCCACCCGGCTTTATGATAGAACTCATCCCAGTGGCTATGGTAGTCCAGGAGAGCATAATAACCCAAATTAATACTGCATTCCACAGAAAGAGTAAAACCCAACATGAGATACAAACCGTTGAGGAAACGCCACCAAGCTTAATAGTCTCCACAGTGGTCTCTGAGTCCTCAACTCCTGCCTTCTTGTCTGGAGGAGCTGATGGGCTAGTCTCCGCAGCCACTCGTTTATTCCCAATCCCAGACATAGCTACAAACTGGAGGTTCCCACTTCTCCAATTATTCTTCCTGAAAGAAAGAGAAGGGACATTGTAAATATATGAATTTTAACTTTTTTCATTTGTCTTATTTCCAATAATCAGGAAAAAAACTAAACAAGATAACAAATTATTTTGAAATAAAATGCATGCAAATCCCCTCTCCTGTATTATATTTTTGTGTTCAAGGTCTCATTAGTTTTAAACAAAGAAAAAAAAATCTCTTTTCATCTTGGAATCCACAAAATGATCTCACAAATGCTTGTTTAATTCACTATTTACTGCTTTTTTGCCCATTTGAGATCTGCTGACAATCCCTTGGGATTAGAGCTGAGAACATTTACATTTAATTATTTTGAAGCACATAGGAATTTGACTGCATCTGGTTATGCACTCCTTAGTGCTCTCTGAGCTTGGTTGCTTGCAGATGTTTCACTGCCCTACTAGACCCCCACCAAAAACAGGCAAGCAACTGTATATAAACAGAAAGCAAACTCTACACTCACTGACACTGATGTTACCTAGTTTGCTAATGAACATCTGCAGGTGAACAATCAAGCTCAGACAGCACTTAAGAACTCCATAGTTCACTCTTACACTAGAGATATTCTACAGGTAGTCCTTGACTTTTGACAATTGAGCCCAAACTTTGTGTTGCTAAGTAATAAATTTATTGAGTTTTGCCTCATTTTATGACTTTTTCTTGTCACGTTAGTGAACTGAATCACTGCAGCTGTTAAATTAGTAACAGGATTGTTAAGTGAATCTGGCTTTCCCCATTGACTTTGTACGTCAGAAGGTTGCAAAAAGTGACAATGCAACCATCGTAAATGAGAGTCGGTTGTCAAGCATCTGAATATAAATCATGTGACCACGGGGATGCTGCCCTGGCCGTAAGTGTGAAAAATGGTCATAAGTCACTTTTTTCAGTGCTGCTATAACTTCAAACAGTCACTAAGTGAACTGTTGTAAGTCAAGGACTACCTGCATTGTCATCTAGCTTTCGGTAAGTAGAACAGCAAAAATACAAAGACAGCAAGAAGGTTGTGGGGGGGTTAACGAACAAAACACAATGACAGGCTAAGGAACAAAGTATAATCCCACCCCTGGATCAAAAGTTTGTTCCTTAGCCTATTCAGATGTTTAGTTTGGTAACTCTATCCCACCTTCTTGCCCTTCATTGCATTTTTGCTGTTCCACTTACTGAAAACTTAACATGACAATAGAATATCTGGAGCTCAAGACTGAACTATGGAGTCCTTGGTGCTGAGACTGGTTGCTTGCTGGATCAAAAGGTATCCAAAGGTATCCACCAAATGGAGGTGTGCGCCCTGAGGAGCAAGAAACCAAAAACAAGAACTGATAAAACATACTGGAAAAAAAATAAAATAACAGGTGCTCCACTGTCGTCTAAATCAGGGGTCTGCAGCCTTGGCAGCTTTAAGCCTGGAGGACTTCAACTCCCAGAATTCCCCAGCCAGCTTTTCTGGCTGGGGAATTCTGGGAGTTGAAGTCCTCCAGGCTTAAAGTTGCCAATGTTGGAGACCCCTGTTCTAAATGCTGCTTGCTCAAAATAAAGGCAGAAAAAAACTTTGCTCACGCTCAGGGGAACTCTTAACGAGAGACACCTACAGTGCTCGAAGCTGTCAACCCAGAGCAGCACACCGTTTACCGCTCGCTGGGTCTGCCGTCCAACGTCCTCCGTTCTTCCAGCCCCACACATTCCTCCATATTCCCCGGCACCCCAAGGCTCAGGACGAGACCGCTCGGTTTACGACAGCACTGAATCCCGCCTCTTTAGCCCCCTTCTCCTCAGGCGCCGTCCCAAGAGACGAGGAGGGTGACACCCCTGGCAAAAAACAAACCCGGAAGGCCTCCCCGACCGTCGATACGTTCTCTAATCCTGCACTTGCTCACCAACACCAACATCCCCACCAGAGCCTGCGGCCTACGACGATTGCCACAGGAAACCGTGCGCTGACGACAAAACGCCAAGCAACCAATCGGGCCTCGCTTCTTCCCCACCTTTAGAAACGGCCTCTTTTGCCCTGACCCAAAATGGCTGCCGCACCATAGCTTCACAACCTTGAGAGAGAAGAGAGAGATAAAAAGAGAAGGTGCTCAGGTTCCGGGTTCAGTTTTCCTTAACTTTTCTTTCCTTTTATTTATTACATTTATACGCCGCCAGTCTTCTCTCTCTCTCTTTCTACCAAGCGATTGTGAACGGCTCACGGTACCATACTCCACCAAGTCGGAACTACTACTTCTCAAAGAATGCAGCGCGAGGTTTCTGGAAACGGCCATTCATGCATCTCAACGGCTGCAGTAGGGATTTAGCTCGCCGGCTCCCTGCTGCCACTGAAAAGTCGTTTTCTGTACGGCTTTTTATTATTGTTATTATCGTTGTTATCGTTGTTGTTATTATTATTAGTATTATTAATTTATTTCTTTAGTGAGATTCACAGCCTTTGTGGCTGGTTGATAGCTCAACAGGTCGACTCATTATTATTTTTAGTAGTAGTAGTAGTAGTAGTAGTAGTAGTAGTAGTAGTAGTAGTAGTAATAGTAATAATTTTTATTAGAGAAGTTTTTGGAAAAGTTAGCATACATGCTGTTTAAAGTTAAAAAAAGAAAGCCGAGGTCCTGGCGAGCTCGGTTAGCCGAGCTGGAGCTGTGGCGACCACACCCCTTCGTGGTGCTTTTTGAAACTACAATTCCCAGCACCCCTCGCGGTCCGGAACTCCTAAGGGTTAAGTTATCCACGGAAAATCCCACCCCGGAGGGGGCGGGGGGGGGGCTTTGGTTCTGCCGCCAATCGGCTTCTTTCTGTCAAAACATGCGCTGCTCCTCCGCGGGGTTCCACCCCCTTTTTGGTTTACGGTTGCTGGTCTACGGCAAGCAACTTCCGTTCCTTATATATCCGCCTTCCGCTTCCTTCTCGGCGGTCTGGTGGTGGTGTGCATGTTGCTCTCTATCGTGCCCGGGTAAGCGTAGCAAGGCTAGCAGGAGGTCGCCCTGGGAGACCTGGCAAACAAAGCTGGAAACTGGGATCCGAAAGGGGATGCTGACCGAAAGGGGAAGCCAAAGAGCCTTTTCAACGGTATCTGATGTTGAACACGTGTAACTGGATTGCTAGAGGCACGTACTGCATGTATCCATCCTGCGAAAGCAATAGCACAAAGACTTATATACCGCTTCGTAGTGCTTTTACACGCTTCAGCTGCCCCCCTCCCCCGTGGCTGGCGAGGATTGCACTCTTGAAGGAACAAGGTGTCGCTCACACCTTTTTCAAGTATATCTGCAAAGAGGAGAGTCCTTCCTTTCCTTTCTTTCCTCCCCTCCTTCGTTTGTCTTTCCATTTCCCTCTTTCCAAGAAATGCGAAATAGGGTTGAAAGTCAGTATTGGGCTTCCCAGTTTCTCCCAGTAAGACAAGTTGAAGGACAGTCCGTTTGAAGTCAAACATCTGTTTTATATACGTTTGTGTAATATGTGTACGTCGTAGATAATTATTACAATTTTTATGTATATATAGTCCACTCTTTGGGACTGCAATAGGGACTAGCAACTTGGTTGCTAACTGGCAGATTGCAGAACCCGTTGAAACGTTATTTCCTCCTCTATTAACTCTGCTTGTTGCAAGCCAGTTATGGGGTGCCTGAATGGTGACAACGTAACCGTGGCATGCTGCAATGGTTGTAAATGTGAGGATCGGTTGCAAAATTGTTTTTTCCACTGTTGTAACTTCAACCGTCACTGCACAAGACACTAAGGGAGGATGACTTGTAATAACACTAACTGGACTAATTTCCTGCTTGTTTTGTCTGGAGTCACATATGGCAGCATATGTATTGTATCTCTAGGAAGATACAATGAAAGAACACTTTAGTTTCTCTCTCTTTAGCTTTCTTTTAATCTTTTAATATCAACAGCTGTTAACACTTTTGTGTGACCAGGTTTTAAAATTATTTTCAGTGTGTTCACTATTCATGACAGATCGCTATTTGTATAGTCTAAGGCAGGGGTCTTCAAACTTGGCAAGTTTAAGACTTGTGGACTTCAACTCTTAGAATTCCTCCTCCAGTCATGTTAGCTCATGAATTCTGGGAGTTGAAGTCCACAAATCTTAAACTTGCCAAGTTTGAAGACCCTTGGTCTCTAAGGAATACATCTGTCTCATCAGTTCAGTCATATTTCAACCTTTTGTTGTTTTCCATCTGCATGCACAGTTTATAGGTAGGTGGTTTATATTTCACACTGGTTGGTAGGATATGTTGTCATTACTATTCATGCAAGAAGAATAGTTGTAGCACGGGGGTGTCAAACTCGCGGCCAGCTGGCTGGATGCGTCATGCGCTGGCCATGCCCGCCCTGGTTTAGCAAAGGGGGAAAAGTTACAATGCCACAAGTTTGACACCCCTGCACCAGTTGTATATACATGCATTATATCAATTATGTGCATGCTTTGGTGGAAGAGATGTGTAGAGGTTAGTTCATTTGCATTAATCATTTTTTTCTTTTAACAGGGGAAAAGTTTGCACATTTAGGATAAAAATGACTTTTCCCTTGCTTTCCTAAATACAGGGATGAAAATAAAGGCAAATTTATTCACAATGTTGGCTTATTAACATTCTTGCTGGCATCACCAGAGCACTTTTTAAAGGCTTAACAACTGGAAAACTGGTTGGAAAGAGCACATACTCGTCTGTTTTGTCTTTTCTTTGGGAAAAGATGTCTTCCTTCAATGCATTTCCACTGCTTTGGGCAAATTAGCATTGGAATGAATTAATGTCCTATCCAAAAAACATTGGTTTCATATTCTTTATTTTTCCCCTTCTGAATATATATTCTTTCCTCAAAAAACCATCTTTTCTAGCCTACACATTTTCACCTAATTGATAAAATTTTTATAGCCTGGAAGTTATCTACATATCTTCCAATCCCACATTTCCATTGAACAGTTTTACATTTATTAGCCACAAAGTTTGCCAGCCCTTGAGAAAATAGAAAGGCAATGTATTTTTTTCCTTAAATTGAAGACCTTAGAGAAAGTATAAAAGCATGTAAGAACGAGACTAGTCTTTCTTTGAAAACAGTTTTTAAAAGTTTCAAAGTAAATAGAAAGTAATTCCAGTATGCTATTAAAGATGGTGGGCCAGAGTAGGAGAACCTTTGTGGCGTATCATTTTCAAACTGTTTGAAACTTGTGATGTATTCATGTGACATAGTATACCATGTTTTTCTCAGCTCAATATTCTGGGTTCAGATAGCACCCCCCAAAAAATAAACGTGAATTAAGTTCACACAGTATGAAAGAAGAAGATATTATGGTAGGTTTATTTGTGATTCAGTGTGCTGTGGGAACCCCAATGTAGATTTCTAGTGGAGCATTATATCAGAGAACAAAATCCCATAACGGAAATCATACTTTTATTACCATGAAAAGTCAAGAAAAACAACAGAGATGACTCCATAGTTTAGGTAATGTTTGAATTATTGTTCAAATAAGAATATAGTGTGGTACTTTAATCATTAGAGGGAAATGAAATCAGAAAACTTTATATAATTGCATTATTAGCTATGGCCATTCTTAAAATTAATTTTGACACAATCTGGCCAAGGTATGCTAATTATATTCTATCCTTAGTTTTCTCCAGTGAAGCTTGTATCAGATATATTGGGATTGCTCTTCTTGGATTTTCCAACCAACATAAAGTGATCAAAATGCATTTAGTTATTTTAGGATTCGGTAACTTGCTATGGGTAAAATTGTTGAGAAATACTGCTGTGGAATTTAACAATGTTAGAACAAAACTTCAGTCATTTGGGCCAAGCTCACATTATTTCCTTTCTGCAATCCAATTAAAAGAAAATTAAAGCCAAATGCCTTTCCTGCCATTGGAATGTTTAACTGAACCAAGATTTAAAATAAAATTGACTTTCTTTAACAAAGCACATACAGTGAAATCAAAATAAAGAATTTAACAGATGTAAGTATGGTGAAAACACAGATTCAACATGCAAACAATCCTGTCAGGAAGATATTTTTCTACTCTGGAATATTGTCTTCCTCCTGGCTTTTATTTCCCAGAAACCAAAAAACGACTTGTTTTTTGTATTCTTCCTTGTATTTTGCTTTAGTACTACTTTAGTACTACTTACAGACATAGCATGTGTTTTTCATGAAAAGTCATTCGTCTCTAATCATTTACATTTCCTTGAAAACATATATCCTGTTCTCCCGAAGACCTTTCTTCTTGTTAGTTGTTTTACACCCCATTAATTTCACCTTTTTTATATTGCCTTCTACAAATAGCTCATTGATGGGCTCTCTGTCCAAGGCTGTTTAACTTGTGCTATATTACAGGACAAACTTTTGTGAGGACCTTTAGCTTAGTCTAGTACAGGGGTGTCAAACTTAAGGCCCAAGGCCTGTGGGGTACATAAATCTGGCCCAGGGGGCTGGCCTGGAAATAGCAAAGGACCAGCCCACAGTACCTCTGGCAGCCAAAATGGGGCACAGGAGGGCATGCACAGCCTCCTCCACCCCACCCCATTTTTGGCCTGGACTGCCTCCTGCATCACTTTGCCAGCCAAAATGGCAAAGAACCCTGTTTTGGCTGGCAAAGTGCTGTAGAAAATGGTGCTGCAATGCTGCAGGAAGCGTCTGTTCCATCTCCCCACCCCCGTGCTGATCCAGTCCTTGAAGAAATCCAGTTTGGTACCTTTAGTAATTTATCTTCCTAGGTAGGTAAAATAGAGCTTGCAACTGTCAAAAACTCAAGAAGAGCTATAAAATAAAGGTAAAACCAATTGTTTAAGCAAGCTAGCAGTCCCCTCCTTCCACCCCATTTTCCTGCTCCTATACACATCCTGCGGGACTTCCTTATAATTGTACTTATGTATTTTTCCTGCAGTGCCTCTGATATATACTTCTGAGCTGCTTACCTGCCCCATCTTGCTTCCTCTTTAAAATTACTCTGTATATACTTATATGTGTGTGTATATTTGTGACTAGTCATTTTCCATAATTAACACTTAGTTACAGCATATTTATTATCTGAAGAAAATTAAAATAAGTATGCTCTAAGAAATGTAGCACATTGCACATATTTACGTATTCCACTAATCATCCTACTTATTAAAGTTCTTTACAGGAGAATTTTATAAGTAGGTTCCTTTCAATTCATTAGAGCTTATACCCAAAAGAGGGAGGATAAACCAACAGCTTAAAGTACTAAAAATAATATGTCAAATAATTTTTAAATGTACCACTTCTAAGCCACTTTTAACCTATGAGTTAAAAAGGAGCATGGTACGCTAAATCGTGACAAATCTAGAATAATTGCCTAGCGATAAAATTATAAATTATTACCTCCTAAGAGGTAATTATAATTTATACAATGAGAATCCCACAGGATGACCATGTTAGAATAATTTATTCAGTGTCCTGTAAAAAGATAATGTAGGAAAGAAGCATTGAAAGGCCTCTCAAAGAGTCAAGCACCTTTAGAATTAATTCATGTAAATCACATTTAGCCTATCCCAAATATTCAAAAGGAATTCGAGAACAAATATCTGGAATTTCTTTGCCTGAAAACAGTGGATTTATTTTACATTTTCTAGTTGAGAAAACTTATTGAAAATACTTACATAAAGGAGTGAAATACAATGTAAAAATTCCATTCCACTTATGTGACAAAATTACTGTTGTCCCCAGTGGCATCTAATATAATTTATCCAATTAACAGAGTAATCAGATAGGAAAACCAAACTTATGAAGTGAGTTTAGGAATAGAAATGCTCAATGAGTGAAATATATCATCTGCTAATAGGAGGGCCATGTGTTCAGCAGTCTCTTAGTGCAATTCCATTTAATATTTAGTATTTCTACTTAATCCAAGAGGCTTTGGAGCCAAAGCCAAATTAAAAGGAGAAGGAAGAATAGCATGGATCTTAATTTCAATTTAATGGCATGTGAATGAGTTTATTAAATTTGCAACAGATCAACTGGATATGAACCTGTCATCATTGTTTAAAATGACCTAAGAGGGAGTAGCAATCATGCAAAATACTGTTTAAATGAAGGCTTTCAGTACAACTACTTTTTCATCAGGCATGACGTTTCCATAATCTTTTTTTTTCCTTTACTTTTTACAGAATTGGATCTAATCATGACTTTGCTAGAAGGCCCTCTGCCCAGTCTGCTGCTTGAAGCAAGAAGCTAAGCAAATGGCACGCAGGAAAAAACCAAAGGACTCTCGAACTGCAGATGTGGCAGCCATCTTCTTGTACAGATTGCTGCCTTGGGGCCGGCTATGCCGTTGGTCCAGCCCATTCCTGCAATTCCTTGTCTTGAGCGTTGTGACATTTGGTGTGATTGCTCCCTTCACTTGCCGAGACCTCCTACATTCTTACTTCTACATGCGTGGTTGGTACCTGAGCTCAATGACCCAACATTTTTTAAAGCAGAACCAAGAGGAAGGCTTGAGTGCTCTCCGTTACTTCGAGCGACTGAAGAATACATCAGAGAAGTTGACCAAAGAGGCCTTGCCACCGTGGTTGCTGATTACCATCATTACTGTCCAAAGGAGGCCGGAACTCCACTATGTCCTTCAAGTAGCAGCCCACTTCCACCGCCTGCTCCAGGAATGTGGCCCTTCTTGCCAGCACCATCGGCTCTTACTCTGTAACGTGGAAACAGATCCCAGCAACCACCAGGATGCTAAGCTGCTTGCCACTTTCTTTGCTGTGGTGAACCGCTACAGCGGTCAGGAAAATTTAGATCTCTTCCCAAACCGTTTTGAGAAGGAGAAGCAAGATTACACCTATTGCCTTGAGAAATCACTTCAGCTGTATAGACCAGAACATGTCCTGTTGGTGGAAGATGATACCCTCCCAGAAAAGGAGTTCTTTCCAGTCCTCCATCACTTGTTAAAGACACGATTCTCAAAGCCCCACCTCCGAGATGCTCTCTATATCAAACTGTATCATCCCGAGAGACTTCAACATTACATCAATCCAGAACCCATGAGGATCCTGGAATGGCTCGGATTAGGCATGTTTTCAGGATCCTTCTTGGGCTTTGTCTACTCATGGGCATCCAGCCGCTCCAGCCTTAGTTGGTCCATTGTGTTGTTTTTTGCCCTGTACAGCATGCTGCTAGTAGAGCTGGTTGGGCGCCACTATCTCTTGGAACTTCGACGCCTGGCGCCATCCTTCTACAACATTATGCCTGTGACCGAATGCTGCACTCCAGCCATGGTGTTCTCTGCTCCTTCAGCACACCGTGTTCTGGGTTACATGAAAGAAGTTCAGTGTCGCCTCGGTTTTGCCAAAGATATTGCTCTTTATTCACTGCTGCGTACCAAGGGCGAGCGTGCGTTTGTGATTGAGCCCAATCTGGTGAGACATGTGGGGATATTTTCCTCTGTCAGGGTCAATGAAAACCCAGAGCTGCTTTGACTTTTCAATATTTTTTTAAGGACTGAAACAGATGAGCAAATACTTGCCGAGCTTTGCTGCACTGAGCCATCTCCAGTTGCAAGCTGGGGCTTGAATCAAATCAAATAATTAAGGTCAATAATGTTCTCTAGGAGTAAGCTTGGAATTGTTTTCTAGCATTCTATGTTTAAAAAAAGAGAGAGTACACAATAGCTCTAAATCAGCCTTCCACACGATGCCCTTCCACTGTGAGGTTGCAATTCCGAGAATCCCAGCCAATGTGGCTGGTGGTAGTTTTGACTTACAAATTCTAGGTTGTGAAAGTTAGCTCTGATTGATAGCTTACAGATAATGAATAAGAGTTCCTCAGTTTTGTAGAAATACCAGAGATGATGCTTTAACTTTTGGGTATCAACTTATAAATTATTTTTAAATGGTTCTTTCCCATAATCATGAAGCATTAACTGAAAAGAGAAACTATTTTTTAAATTGCCTTAGTCTATCTTTTCTGAGCTGATGCCTTCGAGATATGTTGGCTGCAAAATTGCCAACACTGCCCGTCAATCTTCTGGAGGCTTGCAGTCCTAACCAATCAAAAGGATGCCAGCTTGGGAAGACTGGTGTACATTCAAAGACAAATGATCATTTTCAGTGAAAGTGTTAGGCCTGCGATAAATCTTAACATTTCTTTCTTTCTTGTTCCAAATCTTTCATCTCTTTGTCACTTTCTCATGAGCCATTTAAGTGGGCTTTTGTGCATACCTCCTGAATATTAAAGATCCCTTGCAAATGGCAAGCTCTCCTTGCTTGTAGAAACTTTTAAGTCAGCAACAAGGTAAGGTTGCTCAATTTGAAGCAGCTAAAATGGTTGGAGATAGTTGAATTATGCGTTATCCTAATCTGTGTTTACAACAGAGTTGGCACGGCTGAGAAAATGAAAAAGCCCATTAGACTGAATGAAAAGTCTAATGATGCTAATATTGTGGACATAGTCATAGCTGCAGAAAGTTTGATTGTGCTCAAATGTGGCTCTTCCTTTGCCCTATCTATTCTTGTCCCCTATATTAGTGACCCTGATGGTATATCTTATACCAAAGGCTCAGATCACTCCATTAACAGATTTCTAGAATCAGCTGATCACCAGAAATCCTAAATCCTAATCCTAAAACCCTCCATCTATGAATTAGAATTGCCATGTCAATTGCCAGCTAATTTTGGCTTAGCAGTTTCTTACCGTTCCTTTTTCATTTTGTTTTTCCCAAGGCAGGAAACCCTTGAAATATTTTCTACAACTGCCCATCCCAATCGGTTGCTTTCTTTTGAAATGTACTGATAGTACTGTTTAAAAATCAGATGCGCATCATTCAAAACCATTCTAAAGGAAATGTGACGTTCTCATTTCTCTTGATTTCCTCTGCATTTGCTACCTCCTACTTCACATACTACTCACACTGTTCCCTGTTAATGGGCTTATTAAAAAATACAAGTGCCTTACTTAGATGATACCTAAACACTTTTATAGAGAAGCTTTTTCTTCCTCTGACTCTGGGAATCTGTGAGAAGAGCACGGCTTTTTCCACCCTACTTGAAAAAAAAAACTTGAACTTAGAAATGTATTTTTCTTTCCACGAGAATTCAGTTGAAATAAATAAATGCACCATCATCTGTACGGTTCTTGGAAAAGTTGATGTATTGTTCCAACGTTCTTGCTATTGCAACAATAATTTTAGAAAATTGTGTGGGGGGAGACATAGTAGAGGGGTTTCTAGAGGCATCCATGTAGAAAGAAACAATTCACGCTGCAAAAAATATATCTGGGGAATCCAGTCAAAAGTATTACACAGCATAGCTAAGTAATACCCCTGGATCAGAATCAATTTATTTAGCCGTTTATTTATTTGTTGAATTTGTATACCACCCACCTCACTAATGCAGCGGCTCTGTATTAGTTATTTGATAACAAGTTTTTTAGCTGCTGATAGCATGCACCCTCATGAGCTTTTGCCACCCTCATGAGCTTTTCTCCGCACATCCCGCCTTGTCATCACTACATATGCAAGTGGATAAAGGTTCACAGGCAAGCCATTGATGGACAGCAAAAGAACACAAGTCCTATCAAGTCAGCCCTATACACCCAGGAGACAGAAAGTGGGTAGGGACTGACCAGCAGAATATTTAGTAGGAATCTCCCTTGGCATGAGTAGAGGCTGACAGTACGCTTGGCTGGGGCATCTGTGCTAGTGATAAGTTTATGCCACTCTGGGCAGTACAGACAGACAGTAGCCAACAAGCTGGAAAGATCCCGCCCTCTACTGTGTGATCAGCTCATTTAGTGTTAAAGTACCACAAGCTACGCAAATAGCAAGGGGTTAGTTGGGAGAAAATACAGTGCACCACATCAGTTGTGGTTCGGTTTTGTGCTTTGGGTTGGGGATGAATGGAAGGTTGTATCAGGTGGTGTAGTGTTCTTCAAGAATGATTAGCCAGGCTTCCTTGAATCGAAATTAGATATGGATGTAGATATGTGCCTGTAGCCTAAATTCTAGGCAGTTGAAAGCTGACTAGATAACACATGAACTGCCCTGATTACTTCAAAGAATCAGGTCTCTCTATCTGTGCTAGAAACACATGCTTTCCTCCTTCACACAAGCAGTGCCATTGTTCTGTGGATTTGTGCAATATACCTGCAGCACCTGTAATCATGCCAAGCTGTACCAACAGGATGAATTAGATTCAAAGGTTTTCTTCAGACTCTGCTTGTAGCTGCTTGGAACTGATTCTGGAGTTATTTGTATCCTCAGCACTGAATTACAGCCATGCCACGAGCAGCTCTTGATCCTTGAAGCATCAGATCCAATGCAGCAGCTCAGAAAACACAACTTACATAAACTTAGTATTCCACAGAATAGTGCCTGGGAAGCTCACTATTTTAATAATAAATTGTTAATTAAAAACTGTGAATAATAGCCTATTGGATTTGGGTTGGAGGGAAGAGGTTGAAGTTTGAGTTCAGAAACTGGGAAATGGGATTTTGCACAAGTTTCCATCAATGAGCTTTCTCACAGCTCTATAGAATGTCGGCACTTCACAACAGCAATATAGTAACTTCAGTTGCTATTGGAGATTAATGCAGTTGACCCAGTTGACAGAAGCAATAGCGTAGAGTCAAAAAGATGTGGCAACCATTTGGGAGTGATTCAAAGGCCTTCCATGAAGGTGACCTGAAATAAAACTTTTTTCTTCCTGTCTGCACAAATTCTCACTATGAGTTCTCATCCCTGTGGGATTGCAGTAAATCAGTTCATAAAATGGAGGGGGGGGAATCACATTTCTCAATGCACCAACTCTAGAAAAGTCTTAGAATGCCGAGATTATTTGTGAAATATACATGCTACCTGCCCTAGATTCTCAATATATTTAAAACATCCATTTTTTCCAGCTTCTTTTCAAAACTAAATCAAGCTAAGGGCAAGAATGAAAATAGTTCTGTCTAGATTCCCAATCCCAGGAATTCATAATCCTGCATCGGAAGCACAAACGGACCAGATTATTGGTTCTCAACATAACCATATACCCCATGCCACATTTCTATGGTGCCACAATCTTACATGATACTGTTTAAATTAACAAACAGTGCAAATGATAAAATACTTCTAGCTAAAAGCAACTATGAGGGGGTCACAGAGGTACATGAGGCTGAGAAGACAACCATGAGCAAAAAGGGTGGGGGGTGGAGATTCAGGATTTCTGGTCTAGATAGCAGCAGATCTTTAGATAGGTAAGACAAACATGCCAGATTGAATTAAGACTCTGGAATCTTAACTAATATAAATTAGAGGAGAGGATCAAATCAAGAGGAGATTGTTCTATGTTGTGCAACTTTTTGAGAGCCATGATGGCGCAGTGGTTAGAATGCTCTATTGCAGGCCAACACTGCCAACTGCCAGGAGTTCAATCCTGACCCACCCAAGGTTGACTCAGCCTTCCATCCTTTTGAGGTCTGTAAAATGAGCACCCAGATAGTTGGGGGCAATATGCTGACTCTGTAAACAATTTGGAGAGGGCTGTAAAGCACTGTGAAGCGGTATATAAGGCTAATGCTGTTAGCAGGCAGAGGAAAACCTTGTGGCAGCAGTTAGGCTAAATGAAGGTGTCTTACTGACCAAAACTTCAGGCTCCCCTTACTACGTCTGGTGGCTAAAGTTCCTGCTTGTTTGTCTTTTCAACTGTGTGGAGAGAGAATGTCAGTGGCTTAGCAAACATTGCATCTCTCAGAGAAATAGCAGACTAATGATCAAGGCCACAGAGAGATTGCATTAAAACTGGGACAAGGTTGGTTTAACAAAATTCTTGAGCTTTCACCTTTCAGGGCAACTAATCAGGTAAATGTCAAAGAGATTTTGCAGATCCAACCCCCAGTTAGATCTTTCATGCAATGAATGTAATGGATCCATTCAAAAAACGTTTCTCTGTACTGCATCAGAATTGCATTTTCCCCAGGACACAGTGTAGCTGTGTGACATACCCTTTTGTCAACATGCAGTCAAATATGCACATTCATCAAAAGGCCACAAAAAGGTTGGCAATATAAGTTATGATCTATATACATAATTATATGCATACCGTTATTTACTTTTTTATTATTTTTAAATATTTTTTATTAGACAAACAAAAACAAAACATTCAAAACATTGAACATGGTACAATCCTCCTAACCCACATATTTGTCTTACATTGCTAAATCACATATAAAAATAGTGCATTTTTACATTCTATATATATTTTATATATATACATTTAATCATTTCTTACTTGATCCTTTCTCTTTTCTAACCAACCATAAAACTTATCCCATACTTTGTAATAATCCGATTCATCCTTATTTTTTTAATTCCTTGGTCAATCTGTCCATTTCTGCACACATCCAGATTTTTATTATGTAATATTTATCATTTGCTTTTGTAAGGAGTGCAAGAATATATCAGAAGCATTCTAGGGGTGCGGGATATAGAAAAGGTTGGGAACCCTGTGCTAGGAGGGTGTCAAACTGGCGGCCCTTGAACTGAAGTTAGCCAAAGCAGCCCTTCGTAGGGAGAACTTTCTGGCTATTTTCCCCTTTGCAAAACCTTGCTTCTTTCGTCACATGCAGGGCATTGCAAAACGTATTGCACTCGAGTACATACGGGGAAGTTGTTTGTGCACCTATTATATCGTGGCGGGGAGGAGGGGAAATAAGCAGGCAAGCAAACACACCCACACCCGCACTCGCACCCACACACACCCCAGTTTCTTACTGGACAAACCTTATCACCCTTCGCAGCCAATCGGAACTGCTGAGGAGTTCCATCTGCCCAACCAGCTTGAAGTGGGGGAAGAGGGAAAGAAAATCAGGGGGAAGAGTTAACTAGTAGTGTTAGGTATAAAAAGTTCCCGCGTGGCAAAACTCGTCCCGTTTGGCTGAAGCCCCCCTCATCCATTCACAAGAGCTTCTGGGAGAGGCGGTGAAGATCCACCGAAACGGTACGTGCAAATTATATGTGCCAAAGGGTTCATGAGGGTTCTTGGGAAACTAGAGAAGAGAGAAAGCTTTTTTTTGGTTGGGGGTAAGTGTGAAAAAAAACCCACAAAAGTCTGGATCCCGGAGATACTCCTTCTCAACTTTAAAACAAAGGGTCTGCAAACGTGTCAAGTTTAAGACTTGTGGACTTCATCTCCCAGAATTCCTGAGCTAACATGACTGGAGGAGGGATTCTGGGAGTTGAAATCCACAAGTCTTAAAAGTTGCCAAGTTTGAAACCACCCCTGGCTTAAAACGTCGCTTTCTTCAACTCTTACTTGAAGGACAGCTGAGCTCCCTATAGACTTTGCCCATCGATCGGGAAAGGTGCGAGTCGGTTCAGCAATCGCTCAGCGCATTTCTACCTAAATTGCGTTCAAGTTGAGGAGGTCTTCAACCCCAAGCGTTGTGTAATTGTGTACCTGCAATTCGTTACACAATTGCTTGCAGAGGCTTTTTTGTCCTTCCTATTGAAAAAGCAAGTCGCGGGATTGCTCTTTTAGAACCCATCTCACCTTTCTGCGTTGGCTGAAAGGATTTCTCAACTCCGATGTAGAAGAAGCTCCTTTCTCTTCCTAAATCTTCACTCGAGGGATTTCACCTGCTCTTAAAGCCGCTAATGAGATGACTCCCTATCCAGAATAAGGATACAGCCCCGGATCCCTCAATATAGCTAACAAGATTGAGTGTCCGCACCAATTATACTAGAAGTTAGTCCTATTAAAAGCAGCCTAGAGATCTTTGCCACGTCGACATTGGTATCGCCAAGTAAAAATGAGCAAAATATAAGAGAGAAGAATGGGTCAAGGAAGTCTTATGGAGGGGGAGGGAGCGGGGGACAGAGGGCTGAAGTGTAATTAAAAATTCTCTTTGGGGGCTTTTACCACCCTAAATTGGAGGGACCGATCTGTGGCTCTCGAGATATTGCTGAAGTAGAATTCCCAGCAACTCCACTATTAACCATGGAGCCACAGGACTGGATGGACTGGTCCTTCATTGTAATGATAAGCAGTCTTCCTGAGATGATGACACACTTGAAATTTGGATTATTTATATATTTATTGGATGTATAGAGTCTTGTGAGAACTCTTCCACATACCATGAGAGAGGATGTCTATAGTATTGACAAAGTGGTTGCTCTAAGCCAGGGGTCTTCAAATTTGACGGCTTTAAAACTTTTGGCCTTCAACACCCAGAATTCCTCCTCCAGTCATGTTAGCTCAGGAATTCTGGGAGTTGAAGTCCACAACTCTTAAACTTGCCAAGTTTGCAGACCCTTGCTCTAAGCAGTGACAGGCAGTCCTCAAAAGGTCATTTACCCAAAGGCGAACTGGTGGAGTTGTTCCTATTCCCCAGTAAACATACATTTAAATCTCTCAGTGAATAATATGTAAACCTTCAGGTATTGTTGGACTGCGGCTGCCATCAGTCTTTCCTATGACCGTGCTATCTTGGACTTATGAGAATTAGAGTTTGACAGCATTCAGGGAGCCACGTGTTGCCCAACTGTGCTCCAAGCAAGGTTGTTGTGGAGTAGGTTTGAAAGAATGCCTAAGATGTAGCTCAGTGTTCATCCAAGATTTCAGGCAAACATTCATTAAGACTATGATACACGCCTTGTTAAGTCAAGGACTGCAAAATCTATTGGGAAAGCTGATTTACTATTGGATAAGAAAATCCTATTATCTTACGTACACAAAGAAGGTTCTTAGTTCTTACTGTGTGCCAAAACCAGAATAGTGCCCATGTGTGTTTTGATGTGCCAGGAAGACAGTAGAAAGTCATTCAAAGAGTCATCTTTGGCTGGATGAGGAACATAGCTAGCCTTTCCATGGCTTTATCAGGACTACTTTTCTTCCAATAGTGTTCATCAGGGACATGGACTTTCAAAGATTTTAGGAGATCTGGAGGAGAATGCTTGTTCAACCCCTCCAGTTTTCCTCATTGCTGGTATGATGCCATCTTTTTCTCTACTACTTCTAAGACCCATGGTGGTTAGAATGCAGCACTGCAGGTTAATTCTGCTGACTGCCAGCAGTTCAATCTTGTCCAGTTCAAGGTTGACTCAGCCTTATATCCTTCCAAGGCTGGTAAAATGAGGACACAGATTCGCTTAGAGAGAGCTGTAAAGCACTATGAAGTGATATACTGTATACGTTTTATTGCTATTGCTATTTATTATACAAATACAGAGAAATTTTAATAGATGGGAAGAAAGTATTGCTACACTTGTTATCTTCAAATACCAACCCACACTTTGGAAGAGGGTTTGGCAGTTATTCTTCAATGAAGAGCCTGAAGAGACTTCAAAGATAAACCAATATTTTGTATTAAAAACAGCCCTCTGCATCTGTCCACACCAAGTTTCAAAGCAGTCCACATCTTCTATTATCTTCTTTAATTCATTGCATAGTTGACTGCTTTTGCTGAGGAAGATTGAAATGACTGTTGGCAGAAAGGGCATCTTTTCTTTCTATCACTGTTTTAAATCATATGATGTTTTTCTACATCAACTGACTTTTAAAAAATCTATGTACTAGGTAGGAATGCTGAATACATTTTGCTTATTTTTTTTAGCATTCATTACTTAATGCAGTTGGTATTTTGAAAAACTTCATACGGAATGTAGTTCAGATTTAGATAACATCTCTTTTCTTAAGTATCCAAATTATATTTGGTAGCCATGGCTTGTTCTATTTCTAAGTGTCATCAGCTTTGCTTTTTTTTTGGGGGGGGGGGGGGTTCTAATTTTTTAAAATTATTTTTAGAGGTCCTGGCAATAAGGATATTGTTTAGGATCTGCTAATATCCCAAACAAAGCTGTAGAAGTTTCTGAGGCTTTTTTTCCACTTTAAATATTTTGAAGTCATTGCTCTCTTAAGTCAAAATGGTGATATCATTAGAAGGACAGATGAATGCATACATGCAACCTACGAAAACCTCTTTCTCTAGTACTGAATCTCCTGGTTGCAACATTTATGCAGGTGGCTATGGAAAAACCTGGTTCATTTGTGACTGAGCTGCATGGAAGCTGTGGTTCAAATGATAAATAGTATAGATGAATATAGGACTGGAATGTTGGGTTTCAAGACGCATTAATTCTTTGATTCGTTTATTGTCTGGGAAAGTCTTGTGGAAAATGCTGGCAATAATTGGATACTTATCTCTGTGATAGTACTAAAGAGCCCCTGGAAGAATAAAATTCACTAATGATAGGTGGCAAGAACTCCTTGGGTTCCTGATACCATAGGACTTTTTGGGGTGAAAAAAGAATGCGTGCATATCATAGATAGTTCCCCCCACCCTTCCAGTCAAAGCAATATTGGTCAATTCTATACAAGCAGAGAGGCAGAAACTTCTGTTTTGCACATATTCTTTTCCATTATGCAATGGAAATCCTTCCCCTCCCATGCGCATAAATAACTAAATAAAAATTTTGAGAGCTCCTAGTATTACTAATCAAAAGACGTTACGGAAGCATTCAATCCTTTCCAAATATTGTGTGTATTATTGGGTCCTGTATTGTGCTAAGGCAAAGAGGCATACATTGGTACGATCACCCAGAAGAGTTACAGCTAGTATTTGGACACTCATATACACCCATCTCCATTGCATTCCATGAGCAAAGCGGAGAAATGGGCAGTACATCATATCTGGAAGCTGTGAACGGACAGAAGGCTCCTTTTATTGGACTGAATATCATGCTTGAAATAGTGAGTCCATTAAAATCAATGGAGCAGGTTATGATCACCAACACTTGGAAGTTGCCTCTTGACCATAGTCCTCTATACGATTCTCTTCCACCCAATCTCGTCTTGAAATTTTAGAGCTTTCTGCTTAACCGAATTCTTTGCAAAAAGCAACTCTCATCTTTTCATTCTTGCAGGTCTGCAAAAATCTACAAATGCATCTAGGGTTTATTTTAATGTTTAGCTTCTCTCTCTCTCTCTCTCTCTCTCTCTCTCCCCGCCCCCCAACAGAAGGGGCACCTATTTATGGCATTTGCATGCTTTCGAACAGCTAGGAGAGCAAGAGTTGGCCAAGGACAGGAGCTCACCCTGTCACATGGCACTTGGGTCTCGAACCCACACATTCAAATCGGGGTTGACTCCTAGCAACTGCCTGGACTTGTCCCTGCAGTTTTCCTGGCAAGATTTTTCAGAAGTGGTTTGCCATTGCTTCCTTCCTAGAGCTAAGACTGTGTGACTAGCTCAAAGTCACCGAGCTGGCTTTGTGCCTCAGGTGAGCCAAGAACTCACAGTTGCCCAGTTCCTAGCCAGATGTCTTAACCACCATGCTGAAGTGTCTCTCATTTAATTGCACTATAGAACAGGGGTCTCCAACCCTGGCATCTTTAAGACTTGTGGACTTCAACTCCTAGAATTCCTTAGCCAGCTTTACTTTGAGCTTTGCTGGCTGAGGAATTCTGGGAGTTGAAGTCCACAAGTCTTAAAGTTGCTAAGGTTGGAGACCCCTGCTGTAGAAGATTTATTTATTTATTAAATTTGTATTTTGTCTTTCATCCAAGACCTCAGTGAGCCACCATAAATAACACTACTCTCTCCTGTTTTTCACCATCATATCAATCATATAATTAAAGAAGTACTTTATAAACTCACTGTAGATAAATTCTGCTAATCCAAAATTCTTTTTAACCAATATAGAGAATCACTATATTATTAAATCTGCTTAGACTGCTACTAAAGTCCATATCTTTTAGGTCCAGCAAGTGAAAAGAGCGATCTTTCTAATGCGCGTAATGCCTGTACTCAGTGGTTAATTATTCTCCACACAACCAGGGTTTAGACTTAGCAAAACTAAACATTAGCTGTCTATTACCTAGGAACAAAAGTTGGACACATGTCCTAAAAGACTCACAAGAGACTTTGCAAATTGCACATCTATCTTCCCTCCCCCCAAAAGTACACACACACCAGTCCACACTGCAGCAACCTTGAAACCTGCTAACCCTCTTCTGACCTCAGTTCTTGCACTTTGGTCTGTCATCTGTTGTAACATTAACAGAAGGCAACCTTTGCACTATTTCTAATGGGGAATTCCCCCCCCCTCTATCTTTTTCTATAGATCTTTTTTTTTAAAAAAAAGACTTACACTCTAGCAAGGTTGACCGTTTCTGCCCAGATCCTGTTGACTGGCTGCCAGGTATTTGATTAGGCAAACAGTCTTCTTTACTTTGGATGCCACTGATATATCTTAAATGCTGCCACACTTTTATAGTGCTGCAACACCCTTTTCTCATTGTGAAACTTTTAGGCTTGGAAAATACAATTTATTTGTGTGACAAGTGGGTTTCATTCAATATCTAGCTACATCCATCTCAATTGCTAGCCTTCAAAGCTTTGGGATGGGCAGGAGGGCGGGGATGGTGGACAATTTTCCCTAGAAGCCAAAGTTTGTTATTTGACTATGACTTGTACTTTTCAAAACAATAGAACTGCACGCTCACAGAACCGGTTGTTAAACCGGTTGCAGCCCCCCACTGATTTGCTCTCTGCTTCTAGCAATCTGCCTGCCCTCACCCATATTGCTTCTTCTCATCATACGGATAATTTGTTTCTTCAATGAGGTATTTTTAGGCTGCTTTTAAGAGCCTTACCTTCCCAGGGCAACTTCTAGACTGGTTTCCTCAAACAAGTTTGGATGAGGTTCATGACCATACAGGGAAGGGAAAATATCAAACAGGGCTTTGCTTTCACCACCCTGAATTTTTTTCCTTGCTGTGGATAGTTAATTGAAAGTGGTGATTAAAATAACCAAAAACATATTACACCTGAAATAAAAAGCAGAAGGAAATAGAAGAGAAAGGCACAGCATTCTGTGTCTACTTGCTTTTAGCTGGCATTTTTGTTTTAAAGGCAACATTACGATAGAAATAGCAAGAAAAACAGCGTTGTCCAGATTCCAGTCCAACTTAAGGCAAGTTTCTGATTCGCATGTGTACGTACTCAACACATGTCTGCACATACGCCTTTCTTTTTTTCAAAAAAATAGATTGAATGCAGGAATAATGAAAAGCACCTTTACTAACATCAAAAGACCTAAGAGATTGCCTATGGAGTTGCACATGATTTTATAACAGAAACCCTCCAAAAATATTGTCTCAATGGGCCGATTAACACATTCTTTTTTATTTTTGAGAATGTGCATCTCTTTAAACAATACTGCAAAGAAACAGTGTCTTGGAAGTACAAAAATATATATTTCTCTTACTACAGTAGAACTTGGGTCTTGAGACATTTCAAAATTGGAGAAAGGCTCAATTAGATCTTGCCTGGCACTCCCTTGATGTGTTTTTCCACAGCTCCAATCCAATGATGGGATTCAAAAAAATTTACTACCAGTTCTGTGGCTGTGGCTTGGTGGGCATGCTGTGGCTTGGTGGCATGGCAGGTGAAGGATATTATAAAATTCCCATTCCCTCCCCACTCCACTAACCTGCTTTCCAGCTCCATTCTCCTGTACAGGGCAACAAAAGAAGACCCAGCCGATCAGCTGGGACTCAGGAGGCAGAGAATAGATGGGGGCAGGGCCAGTCAGAGCTGGTATTTGTCGGTTCTCCGAACTACTCAAAATTTCCACTTCTGGTTCTCCAGAACTGGTCAGAACCTGCTGAATACCACTTCTGCTCCATCCTTTCCAATCAGCTATTCGTAAAAGAGGAGCCTAATGCATCAAGGCTTTGAACATCTGTTCTGATTATTTGCTTTCCTTTCTAAAATGTCTACTGTTCCCAGGATAGAGATAAATAAAACAGTCACTTTAAGAGTACTGCTGTTCACATGATCACTCAGTCTCCCTTATACCTTGACTGGACTTGCGTTGCCCATAATTTTAGCTTTGCTCCGACTGTGGCACCCATGGTATAAAAAATGCAATTTTGGCCTCTCTGGTCAAAAGAGCAATATGGTATGTATGCTATATACACCATCCAGATGTGATTCATTAAAATACAGATAGTCCTCGACTTACAATTATTTGTTTAGTAACTATTCGAAGTTACGATACTGAAAAAAGTGAGTTATGACCATTTTTCACAAGACTGTTGCAGCATTTACACAGTCATGTGATCAAAATTCAGATATTCGGCAACTGGCATAGATTTGTGACAATTGCAGTGTCCCAGAGTCATGTGATCACCTTTGGCGACCTTCTGAAAAGCAGAGTCAACAGGAAAAGCCAGATTCACTTAACAAAGACACGTTACTAATTTAACAACTGCAGTGATTCACTTAACAACTGTGCTAAGAAAAGGTCATAAAATGAGGCAAAACTCACTTAACCACTATCTTGCTTAGCAATGGAAGTTTTGGTCTCAGATGGCCGTAAGTCGAGGACCACCTCTGCATGACACTTAGAGCCCATTGTATCATTTTATTAAGCCAGTTGTTAATTAGATCAGAATTATAGAAAGGCAAAATATCTTAGGCATTAATCTTAGCAAACACAGAAAATAATTGCTCGGTTTGTTGTTCTTATTACCCAGGATCTAATAAACAGGAAAGGCTGAAAATGTGGGGTTTCCCTCATTATGTTTACCTTTCTTTTCTAAATAAGGAATTTGTTTATTTGTAGGTATTTTATTAGAAGAAAATAATCTTATAATCTCCACGCTTTCCAGCCTTAAAATTAACAGGGTGCCACGTATTACTTACATTAGAGATGGTCAGAAGGAAGACCAATTTCTAGAGATGTCAATGCTTGAAGAATGTAGGACACTGTAGATATTGTTCCAAATTCTGAAGGTCCTGTGTGCGTTAAGCAATAATGCACATTGAGAACATGTCCACAGGAGGATTCTAAGCAGCTCCAGACGTCTGTTTTTCCCATGATGTCAGCAGGGCTGGAAAATTAAGCTGGTTTATCTCCAGCTCAGCTGTGGCTTAGACGAGAGTGCTGTGGAACTCGTGTTATTCTTGCCTTCTTGTGTGGAGATGTTGCTGTTCCACTTCTCTTTGAGCGGGAACTCTTCATTCCTTCACCTGTTTTTTTTTTGGGGGGGGAACTGTACAGGGAATCCTCGACTTATGACCGTTCATTCAGGACTGTACAGGGAATCCTTAACTTATGACCATTCATTCAGGAACCTTTCAAAATTACAATGGCTCTGAACAAAGGGATTTACCACCTGTTCCTAAACCTGTGGATGCTGCAGTACCCATCCAATCACTTATCCACCAGCCCTTATGACAGACCTCAGGGATGCTCCCACCTGCATCCCACCCCACTGGGTCCCTTGGGCCTACCTTCCACCTGGCTGGGTCCCCACACAGGTCTTGGGCGTGCTTCCTGCCCCTCTGGGTCTCACAGTTTTAGTTCCATTCAGGAATAAGAATGGAAAATTTGGTTTCAGTTGGTCCAACTACATATGTCCATTTGGCAGGGTGCCAGGGTTGAGTTTGAGACTGTTCCTCACTATCCAGACCTTCACAGTCTCCAAACACTGAGATAAGACCTTGATGTTAGTTATCCTTAGCTTAGTTAGCCTAAACTTAGATATATCATCAGCTTAGTGGTCATACCTAACCTCAAAACGACAGATCACCTCACACAGATATTAAATAAGAGAGGGGAGAGTGCCAAGTCCAACAGCACCCTGCATATCAAGGAACTCAGGTTCATAATCTCCTCCCACTAAGACTGACTGGGACCAATTATAAAGAAAGAGGAAAATCACCACAATAGCAATAGTACGGAGACTTATATACCACTTCACAGTGCTTTACAGCCCTCTCTAAGCAGTTTACAGAGTCAGCCTATGGCCCCCAACAATCTGAGTCCTCATTTTACCCACCTCGGAAGGATGGAAGGCTGAGTCGTCAACCTTGATTCTGGTGGGATTTGAACTGCCAAATTGAAGGCAGTTGATAGTCAGCAGAAGTGGCCTGCAGTACAGCACTCTAACCACTGTGCCATCGAGGCACAATACAGTGCCTCCTATTCTTCATCCTCAGAAAGTGGTCCAGAAATACACTGTGGTTAATTGTATTGAAAACAGCCAAGACATCAAGAACTGGGATAATCCTGGTTCCTCTAGAGACCACCACAAATGTCCCCGATGGCATCTCTGTACCAAGTTCCTGTCTGAATCCCAACCAAAATGAATCCCAGGCCCTTTGAAGCTGAAGACATTTTTAAAATCCACTATTTATTGTTTTTTTGTGTGTTGTTTTACTGATATATAATGGCTGAAAACCTCAATGTGGGTGAGAATGTGTCCTCTTCCTGTTACATTTAAATACACAATTTTCTGATTCCAGGGGTGTCAAACTCAAGGCCTGGGGGCCAATTCTGGCCTAGCGGGTGCTTAGATCTGGCCCGTGGGGCCTTCTTGGAAATAGCAAAGGACCAGCCCACAGTGCCTTTGCCAGCAAAAATGGAGCTTGTGAGGGCTGCTGGCAGAGGGTAGCAGGAAGCCGTCCCGGCCAAAAATGGAGCTTGAGAGCCCGTTTTCGCTGGCAAAGCACTCAGGCCACCACAGGCGCCCCCAACACAAGTGATGTTATTTTGGCCACGCCCACCCTAGCCACACCCACCCCAGCCCCCAAGGTCAAACACAACCCTGATGCAGCCCTCAATGAAATTGAGTTTGACACCCCTGCCTTATGCCATTATAATGATGCTGCTGTTGTGAAAATAAATTTTAAAAAATCATAGGATTATACAGATATCCAAATAAATTTATCTTAAAACTTTGGAATGGTCTTTTCTTCCAGCCACCATGACCCACCAGTTTCCAAGCCTCTCTCCGGAGCAGAAAAAGGCACTCTCTGACACAGCTCAGAGGATTGTAGCTACTGGCAAAGGGATCCTAGCTGCAGATGAATCTGTTGGTAAGTATCATCAAACAATTATTTTTCTTCTTTTCTGTTGAGGCTGAAAGGTTAGATTCATTCATTTCAGTAGAGAATGATTCAACTATAAGGTACACCATTGATAAATGATGAATGAAGCTCGTTTTCAGAGTTGCCTTAGACCAGAAGGTCTCCAAACTTGGCAACTTTTAGACTTTTGAACTTCAACTCCCAGAATTCTCCAGACAGCATGCTGACTGAGGAATTCTGGGAGCTGAAATCCATAAGTCTGAAAGTTGCCAAGTTTGAGGACCCCCTGCCTTAAGCAAGATAAGGGAAGACATTCAGAAATGAATTTCACATTATTTTCTAATCTCCCTCTGTTTTTCCTAGTCTGCACACTTTTAGACTGCAGGCAAGGGATAGAAAATGTGAATTTTCCAATCAAAAATTGCTAGTATAATCTCAATTTCCCCTAATCCTATAGGATGGAAAAGATTAGCCAATTTTCTATAAATATCGAGAATATTTTCATGTGATGTGGAATGTGAAGATTAAATTCCATGCCTGTAATCTGAAGGAATGTAATCCACATAGGTGATACCACCAGCTATATTTTAGATGATGGCACTTTTCAAATCATTGCATGTTATTCATGAAAGTACACCCTACCATCTTCTTTTGCGGCACTTTTAAAACTTGTTATAAATAAAAGGACGGATTATAGGTAAAGGTCACCAACACAAAGTTCCTGACTTTTATTGGTTTCCCTCTCCATAGGGACAATGGGTAACAGGTTGCAACGCATCAAGGTGGAGAATACGGAAGAAAATCGCCGTCAGTTCCGTGATATTCTCTTCTCTTCCGACCCATCCATCAGCCAACAGATTGGGGGAGTTATTTTCTTCCACGAGACTCTCTATCAGAAGGACAACACTGGAAAACTCTTCCCAGCTGTCATTAAGGACAAAGGCATAGTTGTTGGAATCAAGGTAAATAGTTTCAAAATCCTTTCCTAGATGTCTCAAATGTGCTTTTTTCAAAAAGCAACTGGACTGTTTTTTTCCTTGATGAAGAAAACATTTGGTTCTAATCCAAGAAGCTTCATCAGTTCTGATGAAGGGAGGATGAAAGGATCAGAACTGATCCCCAGCATCAGAACTGATGAAGCTTCTTGGATGAGAAGCAAAACATTTTCTTTTTGTTCTTCTTCATGGGAAAAAACGGTCCAGTTGCTTTTTGAGACAACAATGATCTGGATGACTGAGATTCTCCACAGACACCCTTTCCTAAAGTTAGTTGCTGCAGAAAAGTAGCAGTATCCTGCTTTTATCTGCACTTCTATTATAGTTTGGATTGCAGGCCATGCAAAAACAAAGATAGAATAAAGTAAAGAAGGAAGCTGTGATTTGGCTGAGTTACTCAGAGTTTACATGTGGTAAATCATCAGGGTGAAGTTGATCCCATAAATCCAACATATATTGGTAGTGCCCGTGTTTAAATGACCTGTGTGCTTTACTACATTTTGTGACACATGTGTATTACATTGTGCGTTAATTATCCACAGCTGGATAAAGGCACAGCTCCATTGGCAGGAACTAACAATGAAACCAGCATTCAAGGTAAGCTTTCTTTTACCTCATAGAATCTTCAGAAGCATTAGCTAGAACGTTAGATAAAAGGGTTGAAGAACAAGGAAATGGACACAGCGCATTTGAGTGGAAACACTTCTATAAACAATAAAAGCAAGAACAAATTAACATTAGGAGGAATTGAAGCCTGAATTTGAGAGGCAGGGTTGCCTTTAGTACTGAAAACTCAAGAAAGGATGAATCCAAAAAACAGAATTTACGTTCCAATGGGAACACAATTACATGCTTAAGGTAGAAAAAGTAATTATTGTTACGTGCCGCAGAGGCAGTGCTTAAAAGGATTTATGAAAAAACAAGGAATTCTTGTCTAAAACTTCCTCAGGACTACAAAACAATTCAATTTGTCTATCTGGTATTCCAAGCTTACAGAAAGCAGTGGTTTTATTTACATGGCATTCTTATCCACGGTTAACTCAAGATTTTTTCAATGAGACCAATATACAGTATTAGATTGGAGATTGGACAACTGGAGCCATAAGCTAACTTCAAGGATTGAGTTTGCCACATTGGAACAACCCAATTGCTAAAATATTTTTACATTTGCCTTCAGGTCTGGATGGGCTTGCTGAGCGCTGTGCCCAATATAAGAAAGATGGAGCAGATTTTGGCAAGTGGCGTGCTGTGCTGAAAATTACACAGACAACTCCTTCCCCCCTTGCCATCCAGGAGAACGCTAACACATTGGCACGCTATGCTAGCATTTGCCAACAGGTACAATTAGATGTCCACAAATATTTGGGGGCTTGGGACAGTTTGTCCAGTGGTTTGATAATGAGTATGATTGTGAGTATTCCTAGTTTTAAGCTGGCTAAACTCAAGTACAGCCTATCTGGATTTCAATTTAATCATCTCTCTCTGTTTAAACACCAGCATGGCTTAGTTCCTATTGTGGAACCTGAAATCTTACCTGATGGAGACCATGACCTGCAGCGATGTCAGTATGTGACTGAAAAGGTAAAGAGTTGCTATTATTATTATTATTATTATTATTATTATTATTATTATTATTTTGCACAATCAGCCAGATAGATGTTCAGACTGGGTTTGGCATTTTAGTTTACCTATAGAGTCTTTGCCAAGGACCTAGGATAGGCAAATCTGGATGTCTGATAATGTTACAGATATTGTCGCAATATGGAAGCTGTTCCAAGTAAATCCACCTTCTACAATTGACTTCATCATCATCATCATCAATGTGGTCCACTTTTTGGTCTAAAATTAAATTCCTATGAGTGCAATGGTCTCATCCCCTGATTATCAGAATTTACTCACTTAGAATGTATTTCTAGTCTTCAAGGACTTTAAGTCCTGTTTTGTGTCTCTTAATATTCATTATACTCCTAAGTTATATCTTTTTTAAAAAAAAAAATAGGAGAACCATTTAACCTCAGCCGTTATGGGTACAATTAGAGGTTTGTGCAGGCTTGTACTTTTATTAGAAATAAATAGGCAAAAATACACACCATCCATGAACATATATGCCAGTTTTGAAATCTTGGGCTAATGCCTTTTGAAGTGAAATGAGTAAAGTCGAAGATTTTTTTTTAAATATAAGGCAAGCATATGTTACTGAGCCACACCTTCCAACATTTCTTATCCTGGACCATAATGGAGGTTAAAGGAACTTACATACTTGACATCTAGAATAGTGGTCCCCAACTTTTGTGGCTTGGCAGCCGCCAGGGAGGAGAGGGGAACTGGGCCGTGTGAACAGCTGGCCAGCACACACATGCACACATAGCTCGACTGCAAGTTGAATTGTGCACACGTGATGTGCGCGTTGGCCCACTGATCATGTGACCTGGTTCTGAATAGCCACAGCCTGGTAGTGGGCCATGGGTTGGGGACCTCTGATTTAGAGGACCTGGTTAGATGTAAGCAAAGTGTAATCAATGATAATGTATTGCACTCCTATCATTTACAATCAGTGTGATTGTTAATGAATGACAGAGAATAGTCTGACACCGAAGAAATGTACCGGACTGAGGAAGAACAGCCATCTTGAATAGCCATGGGAGACACTGAAGGAAACTTACTGGCAAGATTGTTGCCAAACCATCTTGTCCTGAGGATAAAGACACACTTATCTGAGAGTTAGCACACTAAAAGAAGTGAGCATATTATAAACACTTCCACCATCACTTTTCTTTGTATCTCAGGTGCTGAGTGCTGTTTATAAGGCCTTGAATGACCACCATGTTTATTTGGAAGGGACACTGCTAAAGCCCAACATGGTGACAGCTGGACAAGCTTGTCCCAAAAAATATACCCCACAAGATGTGGCCATGGCAACAGTTACAGCTCTCCTTCGGACAGTCCCAGCAGCTGTTCCAGGTAATTCTTCAGGCCCTGTTATTTGAGCAACTGAAATCTCCTTGGTTATTATCTCATTTCCGCTTTCCCTACTAATTAAGACTGTTTTAAAGCTAATTTGAACACCTTGAATCAATATTCCTTGGTTTTTGAAGGGAAAAATGTGTTTTCATATGAATGTTCTATCCACAGCAAGAATGGATTTTTGGAACACAAAATCTTTTTGCACTCACACTTGCCAATTGTGCACCTATCTTCAGCCGGCTCAGTTTGTATAGTGGAAGATTGGAAAACTCTAGTGCCTTATTCCACAAGTTTCTGAGTCTTCACATCTTAGTTTCATCTCATGCTTTCAGGGAGTAACTAGGTAGCTCCTTCCGTCACTCCTATCTTCCATAGTACCTCATTAGAGTTCACTCTCTTCCTTAGATATGTGAGATAGTCTAGTTTCATTTTAACTTAATTTTTAAAGTACTAAATGGCTTAGAATTAGGTTATTTGAAAGAATCCCTACAAAATGTGGCCTATTGGGGCAATAAAGACCATCTTAGGTTTCTCATTCAGGTCAATGTGTATTTTTTACTGGTGTAGTCCCACCTTTATTGCAACCTCTCAGTAGAAGGGTTCCTGTCTTCATTTGTGATTACTTTTTTAATAAGCCTGAAAATTTCAGTCCACATTTAAAATGATTGTAAAATGCAGCTCCAAAATTTGACATCTCGCTGGGTTTGCTTTTATTATGTTTAAATGTGGCCTCTGTTGAAATGGAATGTTTACAGTATAGTGTAGCTTGAATTAGCTGTCCTTTAATATTTTTTAATTCTCTGAATTCTTGAAAAATAAGAAATTCTTGAAAAATATGAAACGTAAACTACCTTGAGAAACTTTTTACCTTGAAAGGGGAATTAAAAAAAATGTTTTGATAAGAAACATTGGAGGCACATAAACAGAAAGTAAAGAAGCCCTTGAGTGAAGTCCAACCTCACATATTTTTCATGACAACACAGGTAGTCCCTGACTTATGACCACAATTGAGACCAAAATTTCTGTTGCTAAGTGAGACAGTTAAATGAGTTTTGCCCCATTTTATGATCTTTCTCGCCCCAGTTGTTAAGTGAATCACTACAGTTGTAAAATTAGTAGCACGGTCTCGAAAGGTGATCACGTTACCTCAGGACACTGCAACCGTCATAAATACAAACCAGTTGCCAAGTGTCCAAATTTGGATCACGTGGCTACAGGGTTGCTGTAACTGTCAAATTTTGATCACATGACTACAGGGTTACTGTAATTGTTTATGTGCGAAAATGGTCATAAGTCACTTTTTTCAGTGCCGTTGTAACTTTGAATGGTCACTAAATGAATTGTTGTAAATCAAGGACTACCTGTAATATGGAACTAGCTGACCATCATTTCCTTCTGAGGTTTTGGATTTATTAGTCTAATCATATAAAAAGTCATGATTAATCCAGCACAGTTACTTTATCATTTATGAATTTGAGCCATCAGTATCTTCTAATCTGATTCAAACTGCAGGAATTTGCTTCCTTTCTGGGGGCCAAAGTGAAGAGGAGGCCTCCATTAACCTCAATGCTATTAATCTGTGCCCACTGCCCAAACCCTGGAAGTTGACTTTCTCCTATGGACGAGCTCTACAGGCATCAGCACTGGCTGCCTGGTCTGGCAAGCCTGAGAATAAGAAGGCTTCCCAAGAGGCCTTCATGAAACGGGCAAAGGTAAGCCAGTACCTTAAAAGAACCAGAATCTCTAAGGTGCCAAATCTAAACAACATAATCTGTATATGTTTCAGGAAGAGATGGGACGGCCCATAGGTCAGAGGTTCTCAGACTGGTCTTGTGTTGCAAGAGTCATAACCTCACCCTGAACATCAAAAAAACCAAAGAATTGATTATAGACTTTAGACGATGCAAAGCACTATATATCAATGGAGATTATGTGGAAAGAGTTCATAGTTTTATATTTCTAGGAACTCATATTTCTGACAACCTTACTATGACCACTGCAAAGAAGGCCCAACAGCGCCTGCACTTTCTGAGGCTGCTGAAAAAGAGTGGTCTGGGTGAGAAGTGGCTGGTTACTTTTTACCGTTCTACCGTTGAGAGTATTTCGGCATACTGTGTAACAGTGTGGTATGCTGGACACTCTGTAGTGGATAAGATGATGCTCACAGCACAAAAAAACATCGGTTGCTCTCTTTCTTCTTTGGAAGAGATTGCGAAGACCAGACTCCTCTCTAGAGCACTAAAAATCTCCACAGACTGTTCTCATCCTGGTCATTCATATTTCGAACTGTTACCATCAGTGAGACGTTATAGGTGTCTTAAAATGAGGACTAATAGACTGAGAAACAGTTTCTTTTCCAAGGCAATAATTGTCTTGAATCAAACAGTGCATTTGTGATTTAGTCCTATGTATATAGTGGCATTTTTAAACTATTTAACTTACTAAATGTTTTAGATAGGTCTTAGATTAGGTTTTTAATTATTATTATTATTTTAATTATTTCAATTTTTAAATACTCTGTGGCGTGATTGTGATGTGGTGTTTGGGGCACTGTGCTGGAGTAGCTTTCAAATTTCATTGTATTCATGGAATGCAATGACAATAAAGGTATTCTATTCTGAAAAAACCCCTGAAATATTATTGCTTTCAGACAAGCTATTTCTAGCATTTTTTAGCACTAATAGAACAGGAATGGATGCATCTTCCTTCAAATTTCATTTCTTTTAAATGATCCAGCTATCTGTCACCATACTGGTGGATACATCCTTTGGAGGACAAAATTATAAAAGGGGCCCATAATTATAATTGAAAAGTGTGCCCCAAGGACCAAGCAGGTCATCTGTCCTGGTTTATCATGTAAAAATCTAAATATGTCATTCAGTCAATAAACCCAAGTTAAATGAGACACACCTGAGTTAAGCCAAGCTCAGGATGCTATGGAGCCTCACCATGCAAATTTTGTGGTCAAGCCATAGTAGTTGCACTATAAATGGGATAGTTTAGTGGTTAAGCCCAAGATGTTGGCGTAGAAGCCAGGAGACAGTCAGTTCTAGTCCCACATCACCTTAGGTATAAAAACTAGCTGGGTGACTTTGAGCTAGTCACGTCAGCCCACCTCACAGGGTTGTTGTGGGGAAAACAGGAGAGAGAAGTATTACCGGTAGGTATATTCATCACCTTGAGAACTATTTAAAGATATTGAGAAGAAAGAGAAGACTTCTATGAAAGCATTATTAGAGTGAAATTTACACAGATGTGAGGATTTTCTACCATTGTGTTGTGGTATATTTAATTCACAATTCATCTTGATTGACTCTATAGCTAACATATTTGTGCTCTTATCTACAAATGATTTATTACAATAACAAAAAAATTCAAATTTAATGTTATTTTCATATTTAATATATCAGATATAAAATTACATTGTTTCTATAATTACATATTATATCATAATTGGTTTAAAAATATAGACTATGTGTAGTGTATTTTTCTACCAGCCAAATTGACAGATTAATTTCTTGTAGAAATTATTCAGTATAGTTCAATGCAGCACTATAACAAGGGCCTGATGAGTAAAACATGCGTAAGAAACTTAAGCATTGGTTAGATTAACTGATTTTTCTTAATTCCTTGTTTTTGTTACTACCTGTATCTTTTTCTTTTCTTTTTCAGATTAATGGCTTAGCTTGCAAAGGCCAGTATGTCACATCTGAAAAGAGCAGTGGAACAGCCACCCAATCACTGTTTAGTCCCAGTTACACATACTAGTGTTAACAACCAAAACAACCAACTTCGACAACACCAAGGACCCCTCATTTCAACCCTGAGCTACAAATATTCTCCTTTACTGACATGCTAGTTCATAAAGCATGGCAGTTCAGTCACCCTCTCCTACAGCTGACAAAAGGCTGAAAGAGAAAACATTCCACAATACACCTGTGTTTCCCTAAAAATACAATCTACCCCAAAAACAAGCTATAGCCCGATTTTCATACCTTTGTCTAATATAAGCCCTACCCCAAAACTAAGCCTGAGTTAAGCTCCACCCACCATCTGATTACATGAGGTGGGGCAAGGCGCATGGGTAAAAGTGAAGCTAGAGTGGGGGTGGGGGATGCAGCTGCTTCACATGCCCCGCACATACTTACCTTAGTACTGCCGCAGCAGTACGTTGCACTGCTGCCTGAATTTTTCTAGGGCCGCTTGCAGCTGCTTGCAGCATTATGCTGTGTGGCTCGTCGCGTCGGTGCCTCTGGCTCATTGTTCCAGTGCCTCCGGCTCATCGTTCCGGTGCCTCTGGCTTGACGCTCTGGTGCATACGGCTCATCGCGCTGGTGGCAGCACCGGTGCAACGATCCACATGGTATATGGCCACAAGCAGCCGCAAAAGAAGTGAAACAATGGTGCAACAGGTGTCAGGGGCATGGGCAGCCTAGCTGCTGTAGTTGTACGGTAAGCAGGTAAGACATCTCCTGAAATAACACCTGACACTTATTTGGGGGCCCAAAAGAAAATAAGACAGTCTTATTTTCAGGGAAACAGTATATTCTTAGTAGGAACAGCAAATGGATGGATTTCAATGATAGGCATCATGGCAAGTCTGTAAATCCTTTGGCACCATGCAAATCAATTTAAATACATTCATAAGGAACCAGGCAGTTTTTAAGAATCTAATTTATCATTAATTGGTCCACTGTCTTATGACTCCCTCCATGTCCTATTATTATCCAAGGGGACAAATATGAATAAAATGCCCATGTGCAGAGAACAACATGAAGAATATCAAGAGGAAGAAAGAAGAAGCAGAGAGTGACTTTTCCATTCAATAAACTCAGAGCCAATGTCTTACCACTGTGAAAAGATTAAATGGCTGTGAAACTTTAGCCAAGTCTGTAGCCATTATTCATTTCTGGTCCCATTGGATTTTTGTTTTGTTTTTTGGGTGGTGGGGAAAGGAGAGATATTTTATATTTCAAATATAACTGGAACCTGAACTAATACAAGAAATGAACTATTTAAGTACTTAAAAGAAACACATTGCATAGAAAAATCACCCAGGAAAATCCTGCTTTAGATAAATGATCCATAGGCCCAAACTACCTATTGGTTAAACCAGATAGTATAAGTGCATAAATGGACCTGCCTGTTCAAAAACTCTACTGGCCCAAAATAACAAGATATCTTGGGTGGCAGGGATCAGACATTGTCTAATTTCAATATCCCTGTTTAAATTAATCCCAGCCCTCTTCAGCTTCTGCTCATAGGGAGCTTCAATTTTTCTGTCATCCAATACAAGTTGATGTTTAATGTCAGCAGAAGCTAGTAGACAGTTCATCTCTGCTTTGACAGGCCAGGGGTAGGGAAGCTTGGCTCTTCTATCACTTATGGACTTCAACTCCCAGAATTCCTGAGTGAGCCATAAAATATAGGACATATAAATAATATAAAGAATATGTCCTACATTGATATATTTAACAGTCCCATTCCAGTCAAAACTTGATTTCCCCCACAACTGAAAAACCAGTAGGCCAGGGATGGGGAATCTTTTATGGCTCACTCAGGAATTCTGGGAATTGAAGTCCATAAGTGATAAAAGAGCCAAGTGGGATTCTACCAGTTCAGACTGGTTCTATACAACCAGTTATGATTCAGCGCAGTTTGGAGGACCGGCAAATTGTGCTCCTGGCTGGCCCAGCCCTCTCCACTTACCCCTCCCCCACCCGCGTAGTCAGTCCTTATCGCGCATGTGCAACATTGCGTGCATGCAGACATCGATGACTGTGTTCTTCCCCGCCCAGTCACTCCTTAAGGTATTTCTTTTTTTTTCCCTCCCATCAGCTGTTCCTGTGATCAGCTGTGCCGGGATTCCCCTTCCTGCCTTACTGCTTTGCCCAGGAGGCTTCCCTGGGGCCCAGGAAGGCATAAAATGGAGGGAAAGGGTGCAGGAGCATAACGCCCCCTCCATTTTTTGCCTTCCTAGGCCCCAGGGAAGCTTCCTAGGAGCAAAAACGCCCCCCAGGATGCTCCCCAGAGACCCAGAAAGCCCCAAAACAGAGTGCAGAAGGGTGCTGCGTGTCCCCCACCCCATGCTCCATTTTTTTCCTCCCTGAGTCCCAGGAAAGCCTTCTGGGAGCAAAAATGACCCCCCCAGGAGGCTCCCCTGAGGCCCAGAAGGTCCAAAAAATGGGAGGGGGTGCTGCAAAAAAAAAAAAAAAAAAGCCACGCCTACCCAGTCACATGGCCATGCCCACCTGGCCACGCCCGCAGAACTGGTTGTTACAAAATTTGAATCCCACCCCTGCCTAGGGGTAGATTTGCATGTATACTTGAGTAGAAATAAAATAGTCTGATTTAAAGTCCTGGCCAGGAATGAATCTTGAGACCAATGATGGGCTAGGCCAGTGGTCGCCAACCAGTGGGCCGGAGACCACTGGTGGTCTGTGAGAAAATTTTGGTGGTCCGCAGAGAAATGTTACCCCAAAGCACCCCCCAAAGCAATTAATCCAGGCTGTGCGGGAACACAAGGCTTGTGTCGCTTGCATTGCGAACAACATGAGGTAGTGAGGGGAGAGGAGAAAGGGCGGAGGGAGGGAACTTGCCCCACATGCCTGGCCTGGCCCCAGGCTGCTTCTTTCTGCTTCTTTCTTCTTCTATTGGCTGCACGCAAGGAAAGCAGCAAAAGTCTTTCTTTCTCTCCCCCAAACTCCACCAGAAATGAGTCTTTGAGACCCTGCAAGGCATCCGGCTCCAAGAGGTTCCACCAGCATGACAAGTCTCACAAAGACTCATTTCTGGTGGAATTTGGGGGAGAGAAAGAAAGACTTCTGCTGCTTTCCTTGCATGAAACCAAAAGTCTCTCTCTCCCCCCCGAGAACGGAGCTGGAGATGGTATCCTGCGATCCCAAATAAAGAATGATTGATTGGTAGGAAAACAGGGTGGGGAATTTTCCTGCAAACTTTTTTTGGGATTTTCCCAGGATCTCTGGTCCGCGGGATTTAAAATTATGAGTTTGGTGGTCCCTGAAGTCCAAAAGGTTGGCGACCCCTGAGCTAGGCCATTTTCGCAACTTGGAAGAGAGCTCATCCTACCAGCATTTTCACTTCTCACATGCCAATCTTTCCAAGGGTAGGACAAAAAAGATGCACTTTTGCAGAGTCGTCGTTGGCCACTGCTGAAACGAAATGGAGAAATACAGGTAGTCCTCAACTTACCACCACAATTGAGCCCAAGATTTTTGTTGTTAGCTGAGACATCTGTTGAGTGAGTTTTGCCCCCTTTTATGATCTTTCTTGCCACAGTTCAGTGAATCACTGCAGTTGATAAGTTACCATCCTGGTTGGTAAGTGAATCTGGCATATCCCATTGACTTTGGCTTGTCAGGTGGTCACAAAAAAGGGATCACATGGCCTTTTGGGACACTCTGCAATGGTCATAAATGTGAAATCAGTTGCCCAACAAGTGAATTTTGATCACATGATGGTGGGAATGCTGCAAAGTCTGGTAACTCTGAAAAATAGTCATCAATCACTTTTCTCAGCACCGTTGTAACTTTGAACGGTCACTAAACGAATTGTTGTAAGAGGACTATCTGTATAAATATCAGCCAAAGAGAACGGAAATCACCTTCTAGCCCGGTTAGACCCCGGGATCTTCACTTCTCTGTGGCGGAGAGGGGCAAAAAAGTCCCGGTGCAATTAAAACCTGCTCAGTTTTAAACAGATGTTGATTCTTTCCCAATAAAACGTGAGCCAAGCGGTTCTTTCCGCTTTCTAATTTGTTTTCGGCACCTTTTCCAAGGCCGGGGAAAAAAAAAAATCAGAGCATGCTCCGACTGCTACGGCATCAGGAACAAAACAACCAGCCGTAGGAAAAGCTCACGTTTTATATTTCTGAGCAACAGCGACTTCGCATTGAGGCCGCACCGATCGCGCCAAGTTTACTTCTAACCTGTTATGTCTCTATGGGAAGGCATAAACTACATATCCCACAATGCCAAGGGCTTCGCGCCCTCTCTTTCCCAGCGGCGGGGCGGGTTTTTCTTTGCGTCTGCAAGATGGCGGCTCCCAACGCGCTGCTGAAAGCGTGGAGTCACCGGCTGAGTTGCGGGGTTCCTGGACGCAGGAGTTTCTGGGGGGGGAAGAAGTAAGTGTCTGATGGGCCTCTTTCCATGCAACAACCACGGGTACATAATACGGGGATAAGTTAAAAGTCTAGAGATTCTCAGTCATCCGGGTCAGGGTTATCCCAAAGGTGCTTTTTCAGGAGGCAACTGGACTTTCTTGATTTTTTTCTTTTGAAGACGTTTTGCTTCTCATCCAAGAAGCTTCTTCAGCTCTGACAGGATATGGGAAATGGAAGGATTTATATTCCTTGAAGGCTTACAATAGTAATAAGAATAAACAAGTTTCAGTATAAGAAATAGAAACTAATAAATGGGGACAATAGGACAGGGACGGTAGGCACGATTGTGTGCTTATGCACACCCCTTACTTCTTACTTCTTCACCTCTTAGGAATGAGGTGAGATCCATAGAGGTTAGTTTGAGGGTAAAGGAGTGGGGGTTTGAGCAGGTGACAACTGAATCAGCCAGCGAGTCCCAGACATTGACAACTCTGTTGCTGAAATCGTACTTCCTGCAATCAAGTTTGGAGTGGTTTACATTAAGTTTATATTGGTTGTGTGCTCTTGTGTTGTTGTGGTTAAAGCTGAAATAGTCATTAACTGGTAAGACATTGTAACATATAATTTTATGTACTATGCTTAAGTCCAATCTTAGCCGGCGTAGTTCAAGGTTGTCTATTTCTGGGAGTTGAAGTCCACAAGTCTTAAAGTTGCCAAGTTTGGAGACCTCTGTTTTAGAGGGTCGTTGAAGCACTTGGAGGTTTATCTAGGTCCTCAGGGTTACCTGAGTAGTGCTCCTGGTTCCTGAGGACACAGATAAACCTCCAAGTGACCCTGAAGACACAAATAAACCTTCAAGTACTTCAAGGACCCTCTCAAAGGATGCAGGTGACCAGCTGTCTGCAAAGAATGTAAATCCTTCTGTTCCCTACTATCTTGGTCAGAGCTGAAGAAGCTTCTTGGATGAGAAGCGAAACATCTTCAAAATAAAAAAAAGAAAGTCCAATTGCCTCCTGAAAAAGGACCTTTGGGACATAGGGATAAGTGGGGGAAAGGGGGGGGGGGGGAGAGATGGTTAACAGAATTGAGTTGCAAAAATTCAAATGTCACTAAATGGCAGCAAGAAGGGACTCTGGGCTGTCCTCTTAGGATCGCCCGGATGTTTGCAGGAGAGAGTCCTTGGAAGGCAAAATCTCAAGTTTTCTTATTCTGCAGCTTTTACCTGGTGAGCCTCTGGTTGCACTTTTAAACTTTTCATATGTTTTCCTACCTCTGAAGTTGCAATGATTAATAGCACTCTTCCCAGGGTGTTATGTTTCAAGACCCTGATGTACAGTTCCAGGTTTTCCTGCCAGTGTGGTTGGTTAGATTCTTTATTGCTGGCAACTTTAAGCTCTTTGGAAATAAAGAGGGAAAAGTCCCCATGACCCAGTGTACTAGGGGAGACACACAGCACTAACAGTGCTGTGGACAAACTAGAAATAGTCCTCAACTTACAAAAATTCAGTTAGTGACCGTTGAAAGTTACAATAGCACTGAAAAAAATGACTTATGACCATTTTCAGAGTTATGACCATTGCAGGAGCTCCATGGTTACATGATTTACATTCAGATGCTTAACAACTGACTTACATTTACGATGGTTGCAGTGTCCCGGGGTCATGTGACCATCTTTTGCCACATTCTGACAAGCAAAGTCGATGCGGAAGCCAGATTCATTTAACAAACTGGGTTAGTAATTTAACAACTGCAGTGATTCACTTAACAAATGTGGCAAGAAAAGTTGTAAAATGAGGCAAAACTCACTTAACAAATTCCTCACATAGCAACATACATTTTGAGCTCAGTTGTGGTTATAAATTGAGAACTACCCGTATAAGTACCATCCACTGAAGGAGGGTACGAACAGCCTTTATATGGTTGTATAATAAATGCTGATCAGTAATGATGTCAAATGCCGATCATAACACAATTAGATTTTCTGCTTATAGTGAGATAAGCAGAACAATAAATTGGAGGTCTGCATTAGTTAATTTTTGTGGTTAGTTCCGTCCTAGTTTCCATTTAAAAATAAAGTGCTAGCTTAAGATAACTCATGAGCTAACATCAGCAAATGCCAAAGCAAGCTATTAAAGAGGTGTACTTTTGCTCAAGGGCCTTGATAATTTGAAATTTTAGGTCCAAGTACCTGATTTGTTTCTTCAAAAAAATGAGCATAGTAGTCAGACAGATTGGTATTAATAAATATGAGATGTGTCCCTGAAGTATTAGATTTTGAGGGAAAAGATTCTGAGTTTAGATTTATGCCTACATACATATGCAGCAAATCCCAGTAAGATTAGGTGATGTCAAGGCTTTTTAAACCAATTGATCTATGAGACAGATCTCAACAAAATTCAACACAACTTTTTTTTTTTTATTTGTCCCAGAGGTCCATTACTACCCCTGACTTTACGAGAAGGAGTTGAACAATGTCTTCCTTTGTTTGGATTTAAGTAATATTTATTATTACATATTTATTATGCTTTGATTTACAAACATTTATACAATCCACAAACCATTTTGGGAGAATGATTGTCTTGGAATAAAGGGCAATAAATAGTAAGTCTTTGAATATGTAGGCGGTGATACCAGGTTGGTTTAAAAATCCTCTTCTAATTTATTTCAACAGGAAACAAGATCAGTCAACAGCAGTAGAACCCGTGAAAGAAGTTTGCCCTGTGATAGACGTTTGCCCTCCACCACGAAGTAAAAAATACACTCCCCCTGAATATCTCCAGAATCACCTAGAATCTCGCGTGAGAGAGATTTGGGGATCCTCAGTTTCGAGTGACTGGCAGAGGACATCACTAGCAGACATCGGTTTAAAGTATCAGCTATTGGCACAAATGGCAGCAGATGTGGACCACACAGTCCCCAACAACCAGCTCCATCAAATGAAGAGTGTGGGAGACGTCTTGGATTTCTACAGTACACCTGTAAAAGACATTTCAAAGTTAGATGAATTGAGCATGCAAGAGCTTCCATCGAATCTGAAGATCAATTGGGAGTAAGAGTCAAAGTACTGATGTCATTTGTCCTCGGTAAAACAGCATCAGTATAACAAGGAGATAAAGCTTGGTTTTGTTTTCCCAAGTTTCCAAATAATGCTTCTTACCTCCCTGCAAATAATATTAATACATTCAAGCAAATAATTCATGCATGCCTTTTTTTTTTTTGAGACAAAGAACTCGAGAGGGTGTTTTTTTTCCCCCAGGCTGTTCTTCATCAGAGGAGACTGTGAATATCAAAATGAGTCACCAGAAAATATTTGAGATTTGGTTTTCCTCTTCTTCCTTTTACCCTCATTTATCCTGTATTTGTTAATCAAGAAAAGTTCTTACGTTGATCATAAATAAACTGGGGTTGAGGCAGCAATTAATTTAGTCTATTAAACATTGGAGACCTCTCTCTCAGATAGCAAACCTGTTAATTGAATAGGAAGGATATATTCATCATCTTAATATAAGACAACTCTGAATCCTGTTTTTTTTTTAATCTACATCAATGAATTTTGTTTGCTGTATTCAGTATAAAAGTAACAAGATAATAAAGAGGACAGATTTCCTGTTAGGACATAAAAATAGTGGGAATCTCATGTAAAAAATTAAAGTTCTCTATTACAAGAGAATATTTATACATATGGCTCCGAGTTGAACTGTGGAATCAGTGATGTTGTCCTGGCATTTAACTGGCTGGCTTGTGATATCTGGGCCCTATTACACAACTAGGTAACCACTGTGTGAGTAAATATGAAATTTGCTTCCTGTTTATATACAGTAGTTTGCCTGTCAGTGTTGGTGGTGTGTATGTGTGTGTTTTCCTTGGTAGTTCTTTGATTGGAATATTGTTTTCTTGTTGATAGTTTGTCTGGTATTAATCCCTATTTGTTTGGGTGTTGGTTTCAGAAGATGATCTTTTGGTCTTTTTGTTCCTTACATTTTGATTGTCTCTTTTGAATGGTACAGTATGTAGATGTGGTTTATAAGTCTGTTGATGGTTGATTTGCCCGCTAAACATTTTAAGCATTTTTCATTTTGTTTTTGTTTAAGATGCTAATAGTTTCCCAGTTGACAATGCAGTTGAGTCTGTCTATGTTGTGAGATTAAGGAATTTTAATTGTGCCTTCTGACTGCTAGTTGGTGTTTATGAATATGCTCTGCTAGTCTTCTGCATGTTGTTCATAATGGCTGTTATAGTCCTTACACTGTAAGTTGTATATGACTCCTGTTTTAATTTGTTTGTTTTTTCCTTCTCGTGCTATGGGGTTTGCTTAAAATGTTTTGGAAGGCTTTAGTTGGTGTGTGCGATAGTGTATCCATGCAGTTGTAGTAGTCTGTTGTCTCTGAAATGTTTTTGATTAATGGCAATTTATCCTTTCCATGGCTTGTGCTGTTGTGCTGTAGTGGGTCAGTTAGTCAGGCACTTTTTAATTAAGTTGTGCAGATATTCATTTGGTTAGAAGATATATCGGTGATTTATTTCCTTCTTCTGGTGTTCTTGGTTGTTATAATGCATTTATACTTCTTTTTGAATACAGGTAGTCCTCAACTTATGACCACAATTGAGCTCAAAATTTATGTTGCTAAGTTAGAAATTTGTTAAGTGAGTTTTGCTCCATTTTACAACGTTTCTTGCCACAGTAGTTAAGTGAATCACTGCAGTTGGTAATTTAATAACAGAGTTGTGAAGTGAATCGAGCTTCCCCATTGACTTTGCTTGTCAAAAAGTTGCAGAAGGTAAATCACCTGACCCCAGGACAGGGCAACCGTCATAAATGTGATTCAGTCAAAGCATCCAAAATGTAAATCACATGATCATGAGGGTGCTGCAACGGTCATAAGTGTGAAACGCCATCATAAATCCCCTTTTTTCAGGGCCATTGGAATTTTGAATGGTCACTAAGTGAACTGTTGTAAGTCAAGGACTATCTGTAATGTTCTTACACATCCCTGGTGGGAAGTTAGGTTGTTATTTTGGTGGTGCACTCGGTTAGTGTGCATTATGTTTTGATAGACTTGCATTTCTAACTTGTTATCATTTCTTCTGCTGGTAAGGATATCCAGGAAGGGTTTTCTTCTTCCCTTGTGAATTTTACTCATTTGAAGATGTTGTCTCCAGTTGGCACTCTGTGGTCACAATAATGGTTGAGAAATAGCAGTGCTTTGCTGCCCTTAATGCCAACAGATAATCCTTAGAATAACTCTTACCTGTGTTTGGTTGAGTTCACTCTTCATTTTCCTTCAGTGGCATTCCAGGTATCTTTTATGATGCTTCATCACCCAGAGCTCCTTTGAAAACAAAGAGGCCCCTCCAGGATCCACAAGCATAGGTGCCATCTAATTGAAGGCCCAAATCTCCTCCTCGTTCCAAGCTCAACAAAGGTCTCAGTTGAACCCTGTACCAGAGCCCCAGGAACAATTCCAAGCTTACTCTGGAATCTAGTAGGGTTTATCCTGTGGTTAGGGTAGGTAGACTATTCAGAGATCCTGCCTCCCCAGAGGGAAGTGCAGCACCAGAAAACTCCAAACCAATGAGGAATAATTTCTCCATGTCAAGGGAGAAGATGGTAACATCTCCCAACTCTAGATCATGTTGTATTGATGCAACATAAAAGCCATGACAGATGCATGAGGTTCACAAGGAGCTGGACCAGAAATAACTTGGGTAAAATCCATAATTGTTATGGTGATTGAGAATTCCCAAGGCATCTCTGAGTCCATGCCAACTGAAGGGACAGCGGATTGAAGGAATGCCACTACCTGTCTAGCCACAGATTTGAGCAGCTCAAGTAGGTTACTATCCAATAGGAAGAGTGGTACATAAGCCAGTCTCTTCTCAGGCTATAACTAAGCCGTGGTGGTGCAGCGCTTAGAAAGAAGTATTGCAGGCTAATTCAACTACTCAGGAGTTCGATTCTGACCGGCTCATGGTTGACTCAGCCTTCCATCCTTCCGAGATCGGAAAAATGAAGACTCAGATTGTAGGGGGCAACATGCTGACTCTGTAAGCCCCTTAGAGAGGGCTGTAAAGCACTGAAGTGGTACATAAGTCTAAGTGCTATTGCTGTTGCTATAATTCATTTTCACAAACAAGGGCTGATGCTTGGCAATCTGCAAAGCTGTTAGGGTGTCTCAGATAATCGTTGCCACATCTCTTTATTGTGATTCTGTGATTATGACTGATGTAAAGCAGGAAACCTGGCTGGGCACATCTAGAGGGGAACATCTCACCCACCCACACCTATGCCCAGGTAAGTTTCAACAATGCAAAGATGCTCCACCCCCTCATCCAAAATGAAGTTATGGATGAGACCAGCTTTATTACAGGCTGGCCATGCATTAAGCAGCAGGAGTCACGGTCTCTAGACATGACTACCAGGCCATGGACACAGCATAGAGGTAGGGCTGGAAAGTGACATTGATACTAACATCAAGGGTGAGTTCATGGTGTTATTTGCATAATGGCATATAAATGATACAAACACTATTTGATTGCATAATAGTCCCATTGCTTAAACAATATAAATCTTTGCAAATGATGTGAATTTTAGACACTCAAAAATAACACTCATACATTCCTGTTGTATGGCATGATCAATTACGGGTTCACCATGCTAAACTGTTGGGTTGTTTTGTACAACCCATCAGACCGGGGATCTTCAAACTTGTCAGCTCTAAGACTTGTGGACTTCAACTCCCAGAATTCCTCCTCCAGTCATGTTAGCTTGGGAATTCTGGGAGTTGAAATCCACAAGTCTTAAACTTGACAAGTTTGAAGACTCCTGCATTAGACTAAAGTGGGATTGGATAGTTTGTGGGGAAACACATAGAAATCCAGCTATTGTTATAGTACAGTATTAGGTGAAGAAGGCAATTTCATAAAACCAGAATATGCTTTATTCGGCCCAGGGGACGGGGGTGGTGGTGATGGGACAGCATAATATATGAACTTTGGTAATCCACATCTGCAGTTTAGTGTTCTGCACATCCAGCTAATCAACTCTATAGAAAAGAGTTTCTCTTTTCAAGTTGGATGAATGGTTACTTTAAAAAAAGATATCCAGGTTTGTCTTATGACCTCTTGCTCCACTTATACAACCTGTTCCTACTTCTGCATCTGTAACAACCCTGCAAGCTAGATGATCCAAAGGGGTATGGCGAGAATGTGTAGAATGCATAGCCATGGTTGCCCCTGGTGGAAGACTTGGAGACACTTTCAACCAAAGGCTGAGACTGTCAAACTTGAAGCCATTACAAAGCGTTCCTGATTTTAAGTACTATATGTTGATACACTCATTCACTCTTCTTCACACCCTCACATGCCCACAGCCTACTCATCCGTTGACCAGACTATGTGTAAGCTAGAGGAAGGGAAGTCACTAAGCCCAAACCCCAAATGTTTCAAACCGCTGATGTGAACAAGATCCTTTCTAGCACCCAAAGTCCTTGCTTTATTGATCTGTAAAATTCATCCAAGGGTTAATGGGATAAAGGCTTCCTTGCACTCCAGGCCTTTTTGCCTGATGATATTTCTGTTAGGCGCATACATAAGAGTTGCCTTGCAGCAAGATAGGTAGCAAATACATTTAATAAATAAAAACATTGCTTGGCTCTTAATGATTTGATTCTTTTCTGAAAGTCTTTGGCAAGATTCCTGCTTTTGTCCTCTGTAAGCTTGTATTTAGTCCAATGTTAGTTTATGGCTACAATGGTCAATTTTGGCATGCCCTTATTCTCGTAATACCCACTGCTGGTATTTGAATGTCTTTCCCCAATAAGATGAGAGTGACTCCAATTGACTGTATTGTGTATTGCAGTGGTTCTCATCCTGTGATCCGTAGACCCCTGGGGGACACAATGTCAAGAGGTCCGCAAAGGCTTGAGGAAAATTTATGATTTAAATCTTAAGTCTTGGGTGGGGTGGGTCTGTGACCACAAAAGTTATTTAAACAGGGTCCATGGTGAAGAAAAGATTGAGAATCAGTGGTGTAGTGCATTGTATTACGGAATGGATTGGATTGGATTGTGGGTTTAGGTAGAATACTCTTGTAAGGAATTTCGGACCTAATAATGTTTTTATATCATATGCAAGAGGTAAATATAATTATAGCCACTAATGATCCCAGTCGTCTCTGAATTAGATCTTCTAAATGTATTGGATAACAATTTTGAGAATTATTAGCTGAGTTAACAGGATTCTGAATGACTTGCACTTTCTAAAATACCGATTAGGTACCAACAGGATGACTGTTTTAAAGGAAATCTATGATTGGAGGTTTATTCCTGAAAAGCTGAAGAACATAAGTTAAGAAACAAGGCAGGTCTCATATATCCCTCCCAACTCCTAGAAAAATGACAAAACCCTGATGCGAACAGTTTTGTGATAATTTCTTTTTATCTCTTTTGGAAAAAAAAAATGATATACAAAAACCCAGGAATCAACATGGCAGGCATTCCAGCAAAAATACAGAGAGAAGTTCCATTTCTCAAAGGAAACACTATTGATCATGATCATGCTAGAAAAATGGGATGTAGCAGAAAAATGTCTAGGGCTGGGGGAGGGAGAGGATGGTCTTTTTAATTTCCTTTGATTTGTCAACAATAAATTACAAACCGAAAATCAGTTTTGGATACAAATGTGTTACATTTTGATTCAGAAAATTAATCCGGCATTACTAGGAGAAAGGAACACCTACATTTCGGGGGGATTAAAGAGCTGCTCTAGGCATTGCTTTTTATTTTAACAGATGCTCAGTTCTATCTCTTCAGAAGAATCTCTTCCTGAAAACAAGGAAAATTGCCGAAACCAAAAGTCCTCTTCGGCTGCCTTTTTCCTTGGTGTTTCCACTTAACTCCTTGACAGCTTATCTTCCCAGGGTGCTGAGAAAAGGAAAAGCAGAGATAAGGTACCAAGTTTGACCAATCTTTCTCCTCGATCCGATGTTCTAAATTTCTTTTGCATTTCCTTGTGAATGAGAAGGGACATTTCTGTGGAGGCACAACAAAGATGCTTTTCACATGGTTCATATTTGACACACGTAGTCGGCAGCTGATTTCCTCTTTGTGTCAATGTGAAAGGTATTATTACAATATATTAGCACCAATGGAACTGAATCACAAATGCATTGCCCTAAGGCATCTTTCTGAGTTGCAAAATAACACTCAAATGTAGCAATGAAACATTTACACTCTTTCTATTACAAAACACCGGTTGGTAACACATGTGATGGGTTTCCAATTTTCGGGGTCAATTTGGAGCCTTCTGTGAAGCACTGTATGAAATAACAGGATTTGGAGTGGCTCTAAAGAGATTAATATATTTGCTCCAAGGTTAAGTGCTACTTCCAAAGTTTATCATGTCTTAGAAACGCATGCATATGTCACAAGAAAGCGATACATATATGTCTACAGCAACAACAAAAAAATGCTCATTTGGTAGAATTCTGGTAAATGATTCAATGATTATGGCTACAAATTTTCCTACATGATTTTCATGCTTCTTAGGAAGAGACAGTTCTTAAGAAATTCAAAAGTACCACACTGAGGTGGATTTCAGCTTAGTGCAGACCATTGTTCTTTGGCCTGGGACTGCAATAATGCTGCAATAATACTTCATTCTCCCAAGTTTCCCAACTTGTTCTTCTGTTCCTCAAATCTACTAAAAGGCTAATGATACAGTCTTTTGACTCACACTATGAAATCTTGATTCAATCTGCTAAGCTATTAGTACTAAACTGGACTCTGGCTAAAAGCTGCTGTCATTTGTTCTTGCAGTTCAAGGCAATAATCTTAAGGATAGTGCACAAGAGGTGTGCATTCACACGCAGGCTTTGTCAATTATTTCCATCGTGCCGAAAGAAATGTTGTTGGTTGCTTTATACAAAGAAAGTTTGCTTGAAGCAGATTCTACGAGACAACAAAAAAGCTGCTAGCTAAGCAAGCAGTGTGAATTATGCACATTCAGTGAAGACCTAGGGGCTAAGTAAACTAGTCTTGAGTCAACAACCCAAATAGTACACACCATGAGCCCCCTTGGGACAATTTCCTGAGCAAGCTCCATTAAAAAAACATGGAATTCCTGAAAAAAAAGTTCAGGTATTTCCTGCTCTAGTCAGTCACAATTACGGGGCTTGTATAAGAGGAATCAAAGTTTGCAAATCGACAACTACTTAGTCTTGCTATGTTAAACCAGCATTCAAAATACATATTTCTCATTATTGATAACCTGAAGGACCAGATAGCAGTCATGCAGAGAACAATTCTACAGTAACTTCTAGAAAATGAGTATGAATTCTGTAGAATTGCACTGCCAATACTGAATCTGAACTCCTCACTTTCTGGAAGCATCATCTCTCTGGTAATAAAAAGGTAAAAAATGAATTAGTATTATAATTATCATTTAATTTATTGAATATAAAACAAAACAAAACAAAAAAAGTTTGTGTGTACAAATATCACAAAACGTCAACAATTCCCAAAGGTGTAGTGTCTCAGAACACATTGTAATCAAAAAGGAGTTCATATTTTTTGTCTTGTTTCTTTTTTGTTTTCATTTGTCTTAAATTCTGGCATAAATATATTAAAGCTGACAACAAGGAAAAAAAAGTGGGTGGGAATTCCAGGGCAAGCTATATCACTTCCTCATACAAAAATGTACAAAACATTAGTTCCTAACTAGACATAACATAATACTGGTCATCATAGTTTGACAATTAGTATAACTGTGTGTTCTTGTGGGAGTACTGTAGCAGAGGGCAATAAAAAAATTCTCTTGATGTTGTTCAGATCAGGTTACTTCAGTCATAGAGGCAGAATGATTCTATACAACAAAAAGAGAGAAGACACAGAATATGTTTTAATATGCAGTGATGTAGTCACAACTGTTGATCTTGGGACAAATAAGAAATGAGATAGGGAAAGCACACTAGAGTTGTTTTTAATCTGTTCAAAACATTTCTATCCTAAGGCATATGACAGGAAGGAAAAGGAAGGAGGATTTAATGGAGGATCCATTATTTTTTTTGCCTAACTGCCTGTTTCATAACAATTTATCAGGATTTTTTTTATTTTTTGGAGATTTTTTTCTCCTGTTTCAAACTGTTTCTGTACTCTTTCCCCTCCAAATACCAAACATAATTCCATTTTGCTCATTTTGGGAGCATTATCCTGCTGGTGGACAGGTGAAGAGACATTGATTTGATCTCCTTATTTATTTCAAACATTCTGCTAGGTTACAAGCAATAAGATAGGGGGAAAAAAATCAAAGATATACAATAGTCTTGCCCATTAAAGTCAGAAGTAATGTCAGCCATAAAGTGAAGCATTCATATGATTGCCTCAAGGCCCCCATCCCTGGTCTTCTCGATGCGGTCATTAAACAAATGTGCAGGTTGTTAAGTGGAACACATTCAGGGGCCTGAGGGGAGGTCCTGGGATGCCTTGTACAGGCCCTACTCCAGGCTCCCCCCACCCCAAGGCATCCCATGCTCCGCTTCCTTGTTTCCTCTCACATTGCCTTGGGCCTACTTTCCATCCCACCAGCCTCCACCCCCTTCTTCTCACCTGCATCACACATTGCACGCTTACCTTTCCAAGAGCTCCAGAGCTTGCCTAAGGGAAGCAAAGGAAGCTGCTTTGTTGTTGGGCTGTGCAGTGCGATCCCAGAAGCAGCCGCCATTTTCTGAGAACCTACAATTCAATGCGGCTATTTGGAAAATGGCGGCTGCTTCTGGGATCATGTCGCACAGTTCAGCAACAAAGCACATTGCTTTGCTTAATGATCCATACAGTCCTCGCTTAACAATGACAACTGGGACTGCCAGAAGTGCTGTCACTCA